TAAAAAGATCTAGTGTACTTCTGTGGATCCTTTACAGTGTTGTATTTATACTCAAATAACTATTATAGCTCTTGGGCCTCTTGTTAATTTATATTTACATTTTTATTTCACATATAAATGTTAATATAAGGCATCACTGTCTATTTTGCTGGGTATACCTGGGACATTAAAGACAGTTGGAAACATAGGATAATTTATGCATAATGGACAAAGCCCATGATGCAAATTATCCTATTTTTTCAACTGTCATTAATGCCCTGGCATACAGAACAAACTAGATATCCTTAATTAGCCTGTACTTGAATCAGTGGGCAAAAAGCAGTGTGCAAGGGGCTAAAATAAGTTACTGCTAAATCAAATGTACGTTTACAGTGTCTTCATGCACCAACTGGCCTCAAAGAGTAAGCTACCCCGCACAAAGTAAATTCAGAAAGAATTAACTATGGTGATTTGTTAAACAAGAGATGATATGTCTCACAGAATCTAAATCACAAAAAACAATTTTAAAGTTGTATTCTTTTTTTAATCTCCTCTGAAACATACAAAACTTTGCAGCTTAACATGTATAAGTTGACATGAATGGTACATTTCACATTTAATTCATATATATATTCTTGATACATGCTTTTTTTTTGGCAGTGATGACTGTGATATTGTGACCATTCCTCTCTGTGATTGATATCAGCTATAACTTCTAAACATTAAACTTAAAATTGACATGTATATTTTACACAATACACATGTATATCTCTTCCATTGCAATCATCCATCTTGACTGATGCATGTCTTTGAAATGTAGGGGAGTCAATAACTAGAGTGTTTTACTTTTTTTTACTCAAAAGTATTTGGGTATGTTTTATGAAGAGTAAAATGTATCCTTATGTCAAATTACAGCCAAAAATACACCATCCCAGTATAGGAGCAGTTGAATAGATTTGGCATTCTTTTACATACATGTATAACACTGTATAATAGCATTTCACAAAAATCAAATATAAAGACCAAGAACTGTTATTTCCTGGGAATGAAATGCAGTTGATGAAAAAATACAATAATTGTATAAATATATACATACACAACATATATTCATAATATACTAAGGTCACACTGTATTTATGCATTGCAATATTCTGGATTTCAAGACATTACTACTTTGTTAAGGCCAAATAAAAAAATATGTGTGGTTCCGGTTACCCGACCGTCCCTATTTTATACCCCCGACCCTAAACTTTTTTCCGGCAATTTTCATATTTATTCAAGAATTTTCCCCGATTTCCATCATGGGCTCCGGTATTAGTTTTAGTTTCACCAATGGTGGCCTCCTTGCTTAAACATCATTTCAACAAGCAAGTTTTTAATAGTGTCAAATCCAAAGCAATCTAGCATGAAGGTGTCCCCTACCAATGTTGACTAGTATATTATAACGCCACATCTAAATGCCACTTGCAAAACAGTGATAGGTATTATTTAGAAAAATTAGGAAAATCATTTTATTAAAAAAAAAAAAAAAAAAAAAAAAAAAAAAAAAAAAAAAAAAAAAAAATCCCTACCTACCTACCCTAATTTTTTTGGAGGTGTAACCGGAACCACACATATTTTTTTGTTTGGCCTAATATTTCTATTTGCAAAGTGAAAGTTTATACTAAAAATATACCCAACATTTAAATGAAACAAGTACACAACAGCTACATAACTCAATATACTTCTTACCTTCCACTAACACACATTAATCATCAGGGGGACTTCAGTTATATTTTCAGGGGATTCAGATACAAACTGTAGAATTAAAAAGCTGGAAGGTATTGTAAAGATCGAAAGAAAATATTTTTAAAACTAAGGTCCATTCCTGTGTAAAAATCCCAAAAGTATATAAACATAGCTAATCAAAGATTACAATCTAGCTCACCTCAACAAATGTCATCTCTCAGAAAGGCAAAGTCTCAATCCAAATAAATATTTTGGTAAACCACATTCTTAGATACAACATTCCAAAGGGCCTTAACGGTCAACTGAGTATAATGCAACACTGTAAAGATCCGAAGAAGTATATAATAAAACAAAACCTGATGGATGAAGATATTTTGCCCAAAATTGAGAAATATGATGATCAAGGATCAGCATAATAATTAGTTTCGTACACCATGACAAATCATAATAAGCAGATCTATTTACTTGCCTGTACTTGTCAGTGCTAATACACTATAGAATTGATATCAAAAGAGCCCGTCCCACCACCAGAACATCTAACCAAGAGGCCATGAATTTCATAATCTTGGAAGAGGCATCCTTGCACATTATAAACATGCAAGTAGTTTGTCTACTAAATAGCTAGAGGCAGAGTGGTTTTTTTTAAAAAGAATTTATGCATTTTTACTATGTGATCAACAGAGCCATGCCCTAACAACAGAATTCCTGACCCATGGGTCATGAGTTTCTCAATTGTGGAAGAGGAGAGAAGATTTTCAAAGACTATCATTTTCACTTCATTTTCACTGCACAAGCAATAGAACCCCACCCAAACAGCAGAACCCCTGACCCAGTGGCCATGAATTTCACATTTTTGTAAAAAAAACTATTCTTGCTCATCATAGTCAAGCACTAATTTTGTTTGCTTAATACTGTAGGTTGGCAAATAATCACGATGGTTTTAATTTCACTATGTTCACAATTTATCATTTTTCCGTGAAATTTAACCCATAGTGAATGCTATCATTAGTTATTAAAAACGTTTAAATGCTTATACAAAATTTAAATAAACTTCTTGCAGCGTGAAATTAAAACCATCGCGATTGGTACTTTTTGAAAAATCATGAAATTTTAACACAGTGGAATTAAAACAACTTACAGTACCTAGGAGGAATAATAAAGATTTTTGGTACACTACACCAGAACCCCTGACCTATGGGCCATGAATTTCTCAATTTTGTAAGAGATATCCTTGCTCATCATAACCATGCACTAAGGTTGTTTGCTTAATTCCAAGTGACACAGTAGAAGATTTTTAAAGACTATATGAATTTTTCCACTGCCTTTACACCAGAATTCCTTACCCAGGGATTATGAATTGCACAATTTCGGAAGAGGCACCTTTGTTCATCATAATCATGCACTTAGTTTGTTTGCTTAATACCCAGAAGCAGAGAAGAACATATTTAAATAATTTATGTATTTTTACTATGTGATCAACAGAGCCCTGTCCTAACCCCAGAACCCTTGACCCAGAGGCCATGAATTTTGGAAGAGGCACCCTTCCTCATCATAACTATGCACTTTGTTTGTAGGGCTGGGATGATATATCGAGATATTGATTCAATGTGAGGATGATACGCATATCGATACGTATGAGGAAATATTTAAATATGGTCAAAAAAATTCTGCCTTGTTTTTCTTTGTTTACTTAACATTTTGGATTAAATATATAAAATAAATATGCTAAATATAAATACAAATATGAAATACACAGTAATTAATATCACTTGTGTAAAATGATTTTGTTTTACAACAGATATACAACTTCTTTGAATAAATTATTCTAATTTGTGAAGAAATGTTTCGTTCATTTCAATACAAAAAAAATTTTTGAAACCAATTCAACATATCATGATACATATTGTATCGTGGCTCAAATATTGTGATATGTATCGATATAGAAAAACTTGTATCATCCCAGCCCTATTTGTTTGTATGTTAATATACGGAGGGAGAGAAGAAGATTTTTAAAGAATGTATGCATTTTACTATATGATCAAAAGAGCCTCACCCCACCAGAACCCCTAACCCAGGGGCCATGAATTTCAAATCTTTTGTAGAGTGCTTTATGTTTATTACAATCATACCAACAGTTTAACTACTTGATGTCCAGGAGTAAAGAAGGTTGTTTTTAAAGATTGCATTAACTTTTGATGGTTTTAGCCCCATCCCTCAGGCCCCAGAGGGCAGGGACCATGAAATTCAAAATTTTTGTTCCGCTTCAACCATAACTGCCATATGCCAAAATTGGTTTAAATTGATTCAGCTGTTTCAAAAAAGAAGCTGAAAATGTTCAAAAGGAAGCTAAAAATGTTCAAATGTTAACACACGACGGATGACGTATGATGATGGACAAAAACAGATAGTAAAAGGACACCCGAGAGACTCAGGTGACATAAAACATTTTGAAATGATCACTCATAAGGAAAATCCAAGTCAAATCCAGCATCCAAAGCATGTATGGTAATGTGCGTCCATAGATGCATCATCAATGCAAGTTTCATCACCAAATGGCTTGATGGCTACTTCGGAATAGATCTTCTCTGACAACTTTAACCTGTTTAATCATTGGAAAATGTTGGTCAGATCCAGCATCCGAAGCAAGTCAGGTAGTGCGTCGATACATCTTCCATGCAAATTAAAACCCCATATGGCTTAAAAGTTACTTACCTGCTCCAAAAACTAAATCTGTTTAGTCAACTAGAAAATATAGGTTAGATCCAGCATCTGTAGCAAGTCTGGTAGAATACATCCTTAGATGCATCATCCTTGCAAGTTTAGTCCAGGGACAGCATACAGTTACTTGGGAATGAGATCTGCTCCTAAAATTTAAACGTACTCCAAAAACTTCAACCTTCTCAAAAAACTTTAACCTGGTCCTTTTTTTTTTAAATATATTGGCTGAAAATGCAGCATCTGAAACCTGATCGATACAATAAAACATATCAATTGCAACATCCATGCAACTCAGATCAATACAAGGCAGAAAAGTATTTAGTAAGAAAACTGCTCAAAAAACTTAAACCTGGGATGCCAATGCCCAGGATATAGCATAATTAAGCCCCATTCCCACCCTTCGACTTTGCTGAGGTAAGCTAAAAATAAACAAATTTTTGTTGACTTTGGTATGTGTTTCATACAAAATGCATATGCCAATGTTGGTCATATTGTTGATATGTTGAACACATTGTAGCGTGTTAAATTCACAACTATTCATTGAAATTCACTTTTTATTATTTTTTTCAGTCTGTTCAATTTTTAATACATCTCACAAAAAGTATTCTCAGAAGCTCCATTTTCTTTTATACAAAATTAAGCCATCTGGATATGCACCAATTACTCAAAACTATACAGCTTGATAAAGTTCACAACAGATCATTTGTAAATTCCTGAAGCTGCTGAACATTGCAAAATTCTTATTATAGTTAATCATTTCTTCGTAAAGCAAAATATTGGATTGTAGCCTTTGCTGATGTTGCTTATTTTAACTAAAATGAATGGATTTCCTTGCCTTGGTTTGAAATCATGGCATTTGATTAGCATCTCGACAGGACTTACAGCACATCCTGAAGAAGTAACCACGGTTACAGACCTTGTGCTTTACAACAAGAGGACAGAAGTGGGCCCGATCTCGGTCAAGGCATTCTAAAAAAGAAAAAAAAATCCTACATTGGTTATCTTTTAAGAGAAATTTAATATCCTTAAGAGAAATTTAATATCCTGTTAAAACTAATTAACAAGCTAACACTCCTTTGTTTAAATTTTTCCTGAATTTATGACAAGATGCAAATGAATTTGGAAAAGCCAGTGGGCCACAATGCTTACCACAGTCACAATGCTAACCTGAGCCACAATGCGTACTACAGTCACAATGCTCACCACAGTCACAATGCTTACCTAAGTCACAATACTTACAAGAGTCACAATGCTAATCAGAGTCACAAAGCTCACCACAGTCACAAAGCCAACCTGAGTCACAATGCTCACCACAGCCCCAATGCTTACCACAGTCACAATGCTTACGAGAGTCACAAAGCTAACCTGACTCACAATGCTTACCAGAGTCACAGTGTTAACCTGAGTCACAATGCTCACCACAGTCACAATACTTACAAGAGTCACAATGCTAACCAGAGTCACAAAGCTCACCACAGTCACAAAGCCAACCTGAGTCACAATGCTTACCAGAGTCACAATGCTTACCACAGTCACAATGCTAACCACAGTCACAATGCTTACCAGAGTCACAAAGCTAACCTGACTCACAATGCTTACCAGAGTCACAGTGTTAACCTGAGTCACAATGCTTACCAGAGTCACAATGCTTACCACAGTCACAATGCTAACCACAGTCACAATGCTTACCAGAGTCACAAAGCTAACCTGAGTCACAATGCTTACCAGAGTCACAATGCTTACAAGAGTCACAATGCTTACCAGAGTCACAATGTTTACCAGAGTCACAATGCTTACCACAGTCACAATGCTTACCACAGTCACAATGCTAACCTGAGTCATAAAGCTCTTTCTGACAAATAAACTGTAGGTGAACTTCAACTTCTGTATATGCCCACTTTCACTGGGATGTCAACAGGCTTGCTCTTGAGAAGATTTTTCTGGGTTATTCCTGAACATTTCTATGTAAATCTTTTACCCTCACTGGTCACTAACCCTAAGTACTGGGGGTCTGATTGGAAAAAAATTATACAGGGATGCTTTCATATTCAGTATCAATGTGGCTGTGACTCTCCTTCTCACAAGATGATATTTTAGGGCTTTTCCTATATATTTCTATGTTAAATGTTTTACCCCTATTGAAACACTGACAAGATTTTTAAAAAAAGGAAACAAGATTCCTTTTAAAGTAAGTGTAATATTTAGATGTTGAAGTTGTGGCCTACAAATGGCATAGAATGTACAGAACAGTCAAATACATAAAAAAAAACAAATAAACTAATGTATGACTTAGACTTGATAGAAACACCAATGAATGAATGAATGAATAAACTTTACTCTAAAGGGAAAGGGTGTGCTACTGTTTTGGGATTTAAGGAAATTCTTGCGCTATAAAGAAAATACAAGTGTATTCACCATGTAACTGTATAAATTTTTGCATCTCAAAGTAAATGCATTTAAAAAGGCCCCTTAGTACTTTTAACATGTTATTATAGATTTACATGAAGCTATCAGTGCACAGTAAACAAAGTAGTTTCACTTAGTCTGTCATGTCATGTGTGTGCAAATGGTGACATTTGAAAGATGTCTCACGTGGAATCAAGTGTGAAAGACTGAAGCTGAATGCAAACCATTGAATCTTCGTCTTATAAGGCAGCCTTCATGTAATTTTTTTCATTTCTGGTTAGTACAATCAAACCTCTTTATCTCAAACTACATGGAACTGAGAAAAAACTTCCGAGATATCCAAGGATTTGAGATATCAAGGGTAAAATACTAAAGGAATGTGTGGTTGGGACTTCCAAATCACTTTGACATATCCATGGTATTCGAGATATCAGTGTAAGAGAAATTGAATTCAACTGTATTTCTTGATATATTTTTTTAAAAGACACAACTTTATTTTCTCTATTCTTTAATTCTCTCCATTTAGAAAGAGGTATATCCCTTTTAGTAAGAACCAGCTTGAATTCCAACTACCCAATGAGGCTTTGGTGTAAGTTTAATTCAAATTGATCTAGCTTAATGGTTCGGAAGAAAAAGTCAAAAACGTAATACAAGTAAGACTACGAACATCACACAACAAATGGATAAAAATGTTTTTGATGTTCACTTAACCTGTTCTCATAGAATGTGGGTATCACCACAGAGAAACAAACTAAAACTGCTTTGTACTGTTACTCTAAAAACAAGTTCAATCTATGTGGATTCTTTTTTAAAACCATTAATCAGAATCTTCTGATGCTAATTATTAGCTAAATGAATACAATTTCCATCTAAAAGCAAACTTTGTCACACATGCTTTCAATTATTAAGATTTGTTTTATCAGTAATACAACAGAAAATTTATAACTCATTAACTGATACAAACCTATTTGTTTTTAACATATTTGTGAGCAAAAATCCACGTAAAATATGCTTAAGAATCAAAACGAAGTTAATGAGCCAAAAATCAGATTGAAGTTTCAAAATGTTTCTATCCTCTGATAAATCAGTTGGATTTTTTGTTCAAAATTTCTTAATGCCCAACAAATAGCATGTGAAAAGTATTTTACTTTTTTTTTTAAAAATTGACAAAAACTTCAACATTCTTCAAACCATTAATGTAAGATAAATGATTTTAGCTTTTTCTCTACCAAAGTAACCAAACACATCTTTTTTATTTAAAAATATTCCAGCTAATAAACTTTAAAAACATTCAAAGCTGCTCTAATGTCAGTTCATTGCACCTCGGTCGGTGTGGTTAGACAATTTCCTGGTCACCTTATTTTTCTTATCAACCAACATTTCTGAGGATAAATGTGGCATATCAGAGAGGACAAAGAGACATAAATACTGAATGATGTCTCTGTAGGAAAATTATTTCTTTTTAAAAATGTTTACACTTCAGCTGTTCAGAAAAGAATGAAAGTGTCAAAATCTACTCTAGGAACTACATGTATGTTACTGCTTGTCATATAAATGTACAACCAAATTAATTTAACTTCTATTCTTACAGTATTTTACTGTACTTTTTTGAGAAATGGGAATGTTCTTTGAGAAGTCAAATGTTGGTGTAGTTCATTCTTAACATATGTGACAAGATACAGTTGTTACATAATGATGGCAATGTTGCTAGGGGCAATTATAATGACTGGTCATTATCATGGTAGCTCATCCAAGTCAAAGATACAAACAAGCTTTGTACATTGTTTGCATGTCAATCTGTCTGTTAAGTTTTCACATTTCAACCACTTCTCCAGAACCAGCGGGCCAATTTCACATAACCCTGGCAAAAAGCATTGTTAGGTAAGGGAGAACCAAATTTCTTCATAAAAGGTCATATTCTACTTCCATGGAAAAATAAATAGAATATGTACTAACTAGAAATATGTCTGTACTGCATGAATGTCCCACTTAATGGTCTAATTCCACAGAAATTTAAACTGCAATATCAGGGAAAATACAGTCAAGTTCAAATGCAAAGTTGAGGCCAAAACATACAGAGATAGTTGAGTTGCTATTTCATTGTACGAGGTTTGATAAAAATTTCTTGTCAATGATCAGTTTCTTTTAACCTGAGCTAATAAAAGCATAATGAAAAGAGGTGACATGAAGTTCATAAAGAAGGTTAAGGTCAGAAAATTTTTAGAAAAAATAAAAATATCTTGAACAGTTTCTTTTCAACTGAACATATAAACTCTCTTCTCATGAACCATTGAACAAGGCAAAGCTTAGAAGAAAGCTTTAACACATACTGGTATGAATTAAGATTAAAATGTGTTTGAATAGGGTGACAGTCTAGGGAGTATGTTTTACATAAATATTTGGAGGGGAAATCTAAAGAAATCTTCATCTCAAGAAAAGTACATGGATTCATGTTTGTTCAAATTATGGACCGAGGGGCTAGGAGCTACAGTGGAGAAACAGTAGAGGAAGGGGGGGGGGGATAGAACAGCCAACAATCAAATTAAATATGCAAACATACAGATGTTGTATAGATTAATGTTTTCAATTCAAGATCCCCATAGGGCAATGTGGGTATCAAGTCCTGCATTGTAAAATAGAAGTCATGATCTTTAATTTTTTTTCTCAAGAGCAACAAGATCAATTAGATTGATAAGCAAGGGAAATCATGTTTTGTAGATTTAACTTTTTTCCTCATAGCCCATCATGCTTCCATAGGGAAGAGTCAAATTATTACAAGAGGCCCATTTGCTACAACACTCACCTGAGTTACTTTAGCCCTGCTGTTGTGGTTCTTCAGATTTTTGAAAAAAAAATATATTCCCTTTAAAAAATTGTAATCCTATATCATGGCCCCACCCTAACTCTTAGGCATCTCTGAACCCATGCACACACCATGCAGATGTATCAATATCAATATGACTAACATGGCCTCATAGTTATGAAGAAAATTCTTTTCCTGTATAAATGCACTACATAAAATTTGATCCTGATTTTAGTCAACTCTAACCAAGGTTCTATTAAAAAAAAAGAAAAAAACTAGAAATATGTCCATAGGACATGAATGCCCCGCCGAGGGTATATTAGTAATGCAACATTTTAACACCAATTGAGAAAAGTGTGGTCAAGGTGAATAGCTCTCATCAGTATGTATCAGCATATAAAGTTTATTAAAAATATCTTGAATTGTTTCATTAAAACTGAGCTAAACACTAATTTAAGAAAAGTGAGGTCAAGGTCAAAAGAAAGGTCAATGTCATAAAATGTTGATGCAGTTGAATAGCTTACATCAGTATGTATCAACATATGAAGTTTGATTACACTATCTTGAATGGTATCTTTAAAACAGAGCTAAACACTAATTTAAGAAAAGTGAGGTCAAGGTCAAAAGAAAGGTCAAGGTCAAAAAATGTTGATGCAGTTGCATAGCTCTCATCAATATCTATCAGCATACGAAGTTTGATAAAAATATCTTGGATAGTTTCTTTGAAACTAAGCTTTGAACAGAGCTAAACGCAAAGTGTGACGGAAGGACAGAAGGATGGAAGGACGGAAGATGGACATGACAAACACTATATGCCCCGGCCATATTCATGGTGGGGCATAATAAATCCACCCAATTTTGGAATGTTTGCATGTATCTTCAAAAGATTTTTTACAAATCTTATAAAGTTCCCATGCAAAACTTTGATCCCTTATCGTGGCTCCACCCTACCCCTGGGGGCCATGAGTTGAACAGTTTAGAATCTACACTACCTCAAGAAGCTATCACGTAAGTTTCATCTTTTCTGGTTCAGTGGTTTTTGAAAAGATTTTTTTTTAAAATTCCTATATATTTCAATGTAAAACTTTCATCCCCAATTGTGGCCAAATCCTACCCATGCGGTCAATGATTTGAGCAATTTAGAATTTACACTTTCTCAGTAAGCTTTCACATAAGTTTCATCTTTTCTGGTCCAGAGTTCTTGACAAGAAGATTTTTAAATATTTTTCTTAAATATTTCAATGAAAAATTACATCCCCTATTGTGGTCCCACCTTACTCCCACGGGATATGATATGAACAATTTAAAATCTACATTTACCCAGCAAGCTTTCACATAAGTTTTATCTTTTCTGGCCCAATAGTTCTTGAGAAGATTTTTTAATGATCCCACCGTATTTTTGCTTTTTTTGATTATCTCCCCTTGGAAGGGGGCTTGGTCCTTCATTTGTACAATTTAGAATCCCATTTACCCAATGATTTGTGCCAACTTTGGTTAAAATTGGCCCAGTGATTCTTGAGAAGGAGTCAAAAATTTGAAAAGTTTACCGACGGATAGACAGCTAGAAAGGTGAATGTCAGACAATGGGTGATCAGAAAAGCTCACCTGAGCTGAAAGCTCAGGTGAGCTAATAAAACTATCTCTATGTTGCTGTCTTCATAGTCATCAGAACAAGTGTGATGTGAATTAAAGAAAAACTAGAAATATGTCCATAGGACATGAATGTCCCGCCGTCGGTATATTAGTAATGCAACATGAAAATTTGTATTAGTGTATGAAATTTGATGAGAATATCTTGAATAGTTTCTTTAAAATTGAAATTGAAATCTAAAAAGTTGGATATAGATGATAAATTCTCGCCAAATTATGTATAAGTGCATAAACTTACATAAATATATCTTAAACGGTTTCTTTAAAATTAAGCAAAATGAAAATCTAAGAAAAGTGAGGTCAAGGTCACAGGAAAGTTCAAGCTCAAATGTTTTTGATGCAGTTGAATACTTCTCACAAATATGTATCAGCATATTTAAGTTTGATAAAAATATTTTGAATGGTTTATTTAAAACTGAGCTAAACTACTAATTTAAAATAAATGAAGTTAAGGTCAAAAGAAAGGTCAAGGTCAAAAAATGTTGATGCAGTTGAAAAGGTTACATCAGTATGTATTAGCATATGAAGTTTGATAAAAATATTATGAATTTTTCTTCAAAACTGAGTTAAACACAAATTGAGAAAAGTGAGGTCAAGGTCAAAGGAGAGGTCAAGGTCAAAAAATATTGATGCAGTTGAATAGCTTTAATACATAAGTATGTTTCAGCATATGAAGTTTGACACTAATTTAAGAAAAGTGAGGTCAAGGTCAAAGGAATGGTCAAGGTCAAAAAAATGTTGATGCAGATAAATAGCTCTCATCAGTATGTATTAACATATGAAGTTTGATAACACTGTATTGAATGGTTTCTTAAAAACTGAGCTAAACACTTATATAAGAAAAGTGAGGACAAAGTCAAAGGAATGGTCAAGGTCAAAAAAATGTTAATGCAGTTGAAAAGCTCTCATCAGTATGTAAAAGCATCTGAAGTTTGATAAAAATATCTTGAATGATTTCATAAAATCTGAGCTAAACACTAATTAAAGAAAAGTGAGGTCAAGGTCAAAGGAAAGGTCAAGGTCAAAAAATGTTGATGCAGTTGAATAGCTTACATCAGTATGTATCAACATATGAAGTTTGATTACACTACCTTGAATGGTATCATTAAAACTGAGCTAAACACTAATTTAAGAAAAGTGAGGTCAAGGTCAAATGAAAGGTCAATATCAAAAAAAGAAAGGTCAAGGTCAAAAAATGTTGATGCAGTTGAAAAGGTTACATCAGTATGTATCAACATATGAAGTTTGATTACACTATCTTGAATGGTATCTTTAAAACTGAGCTAAACACTAATTTAAGAAAAGTGAGGTCAATGTCAAATGAAAGGTCAAGGTCAAAAATTTTTTGACTCAGTTGCATAGCTCTCATCAATATCTCTTAGCATATGAAGTTTGATAAAAATATCTTGGATAGTTTCTTTGAAACTGAGCTTTGACCAGAGCTAAACGCAAAGTGTGACGGAAGGACAGATGGAAGACGGACATGACAAACACTATATGCCCCGGCCATATTCATATTTTGTACCACTTCAAAGCAACTTTAAGTTCAAGAGTAGAAAAAATTTAGATCAGTAATTACACCACTCAGCAGAGTTTCTATGGATTACCATAAGAAAATCTTAATATTATTAAGCTCCAGGCACCAAAAATATCTGAAATACTACTAGTTTTAAATAGTATTTATAGCTTTTATGCAGTATACAGAAACTGAGCTTAAAAGTGTATATCTTTTCATTGACAAAGTCCACTGAACATCAACACTCTGTATACAGATATTTTTGGAATGAGGCCAAAAAAATAATAGTCTTGTTTCCTGCTACCAGCCTGAAAAAAATAGGGTAGGTAGGTAGGAAAATTATTTTATTTTATTTCAATTATTTTAGTTTTTCAGATATCATTTTTGGATATGAACTAATGAAAGATCATATTGAACATTTCACAGTTCAATATTGTCTTTTGAAATTAAATTCCATGTCTTTTGATGCACAACTCAAGTGGTATTTTATGAAATTCCATATTTAAACAAGAGGCCCATGGGCCACATTGCTCACCTGAGTAACTTTGGCCATGCTGTTCATTACCAGACTTCCTCCCTTGTAATACCTATTGTGGCCCCGCCCTACCCTCAGGGGTCATGATTTTAACAATTTAGAATCTACACTACCCCAGGATGCTTCCACATAAGTTTCAGCTTTTCTGGCTCAGTGGTTCTTGAGAAGAAGATTTTTAAAGATTTTTCCTATATATTTCAATGTAAAACTTGGATTCCCTATTGTGGCCTCGCCCTACCCCCGGGGTCATGATTTTAACAATTTAGAATCTACACTACCCCAGGATGCTTCCACATAAGTTTCAGCTTTTCTGGCTCAGTGGTTCTTGAGAAGAAGATTTTTAAAGATTTCTCCTATATATTTGAATGTTAAACTTGGATTCCCTATTGTGGCCCCGCCCTACCCCCGGGGGTCATGATTTTAACAATTTAGAATCTACACTACCCCAGGATGCTTCCACATAAGCTTCAGCTTTTCTGGCTCAGTGGTTCTTGAGAAGAAGATTTTTAAAGATTTTTCCTATATATTTCAATGTAAAACTAATGTATTTCCTATTGTGGCCTCGCCCTACCCCCGGGGGTCATGATTTTAACAATTTAGAATCTACACTACCCCAGGATGCTTCCACATAAGTTTCAGCTTTTCTGGCCCAGTGGTTCTTGAGAAGAAGATTTTTAATGATTTTTCCTATATATTTCAATGTAAAACTTGGATTCCCTATTGTGGCCCCGCCCTACCCCCGGGGGTCATGATTTGAACAATTTAGAATCTACATTATCCCAGGATGCTTCCACGTAAGTTTCAGCTTTTCTGGCCCAGTGGTTCTTGAGAAGAAGATTTTTTTATGACCCCACCCTATTTTTGTCTTTTCTTGATTATCTCCCCTTGTAAGGGGACTTGGCCCTTTATTTTAACAATTTAAACTCCCCTTCCCCCAAGGATACTTTGTAACAAGTTTGGTTAAAATTGGCCCAGTGGTTCTTGAGAAGAAGTTGAAAATGTGAAAAGTTTACAGACGGACGGACGGACAGACGGACGGACGGACGGACGACGGACAACGGGTGATCAGAAAAGCTCACTTGAGCTTTCAGCTCAGGTGAGCTAAAAATAGAATTTCATGCAATGCTTGTTTTGTGTTAACATGCAAACCGATTTCAGTGACAGAATGATGAAATTCCGGAAATTTCCTACTTTTTTCTTCCAAAACTAAAAAAAACTTAAGGGTCGGGCACAAAAAACAGGGTCGGCCAGGTAGCAGGAAACAAGACTATTATATTTTTTGGCCTGACATGATAAATAAAAAAGAATTGTAAAAAACAAAAGAAATGAACATTTGGTAAGAGTCCTGCTATAAGATATTTTGTAAGGGTAATAGTTGTGATCATGATAACACTGAAAGAATTTAAATACAAAGAAAACAGAATGTAAATGTTCAATCTCAGATAAACTTATTCTTAAACATGTAAATATTTAGCCAAGTGTGATAACTCTAATTCATGCACTATGAAAATTCTTTATCAGACAAAGAAAGACAAGTAGAGATAGGCCATAGCTTAAATGCGAGTTTACAAGGCAGTTATTTGACAGTCATTTTAAAGAGAAGGAAATGTTAATATTTTTATGGTGCAATTTAGTACAAATTTATACTGGATGATTATTTCCCTTTCTTATAAATACATTCTTGCTTATCTACACAAGATTGAAATAAATAAAATGTACATACCAAGCTGAGGAGACTGTTTGCTCTCACAGTAAGACTGGCACTGTCTAACGAGTATTGGGCGGATTTTCGGATCACATCCACTGGCAAGTTTACCACTGTGATCACGACAAAGAACAACTCTGGATTGTCTCCCTTTACCACATCTTGCTGAACACTGTAAATGATTCAATGTGCTCTTAAGGATAAATAATCATATTTTTCCTGCAAAATTGAGACACCTTTGCTCAAATGCTTCTCTTGCTAAAGAAGTGATATTTTTTTCGTTACACAATTTTATGTTTTGCCAATTATTGGTGAAAAGTGGGAAAAGGTAACTTTACAGTTCAATATCATTTTTGAAAAGTTTTATAAATATATGAAGTTTTGTTACTGCAAAGTTAATGAGAATATTTTCAAGAATCTATTTACACATTTTAAACAAATAGAATTCCCTAATTAGATTTCAATTAAAAAGAACTTTTGAAAAAATAGCAATGTAACCCTTCCGTGTGGGAGATAAGAAAATTTCTTTAAATTTAAGAAAACCTCTACTCTTTGAGTGAAATAAGCATGACATTTTTAAGCATCTGCACAAGTGGGAACTCTGTTTTGGGGGTATGGCTTTCCTATTTCTGTTTACTCCATTTTGGGGGTTCAAGTAGAATGCAATTTGTTGCTTTCATAAAAATCACAAAAGTACGAGGGCTGTTTGAAAATTATTGAGACAATTACCTTTACTCCACAAAGGACAGAGACAAATTCATGAAAATTCGTCAACATTTTATAAAGAACGAATAAAACAAATGTGCAAAATTTCTAATTTATAGGATAATTAGACAAGTCCCGGTGAAATTATAAACAAACATGTCTACTCACCTGGAGCAGCATCGCTACGTCATTTTAACGTCACGTCAGCTGATATTTTCTCATTGTAAAATGATCGGGAAGCATTCAATCTTCTTTCTCTCCCATTACACATAATATTCCTAAATTCAAACTGTCTCTTATAATTCTTAAACGATTCTATTAAAAAAAAATAAGATAAAATGTGTGCCGTTGGTACCCCGTGTAAAATATACACGAAGTGTCATATACAGGTTGACTTACATGTGCAGTATCATGCATTACCGAGTTATGCAACGCAGGTCAACGGCAGGGATGGGGTAATCATAATCGAGTAATCGTAATCGATTGTAATGATTACTTTTTTTCAAGTAATCGACAGTAATCTGTAATTGAAGAGATTTTCGATTACTTGTAATTGTAATTTAATCGATTACAGCTAAAATTTTCAATGTAATTATAATTACTTTTTCAATTACTTTCGATTAATTTATATATAAATGGATGTTATTTAAGAGAATTATTTCCAGTCAGTCACACATAAATATCAAATATAACCACCTAGTGTAATATTTGGATTTCCTTACTTTTATTATCATAAGTTTAATAATGTTCTCAATAAAATTTGCTCTATAGACCTACTGGTCTAGTATTTAATAATTCAGAAGTGTATTTCAACAATTTATTAATAAAATATACAGATTTTTCATGTGCATTTTACATTTGACCCACTGTCCTCTTGCTTCATGTCCTTTTTCATATTTCAGATGTTGAAAAACTTTGTCTTGTAATAGAAAATTATAAATAGCAAAAACAGATTTAAGTGCTGTATTAAATATAAATAATTTGGTAAATAAACTACATTGTACTCGAAAAAAAAAAAAAAAGAATATAGAAATACTTATTCATATCTGAAAATGTTTAAACAATTTCCAACTTGTGTTTTAGTAACTTTAAAATTTGCAAAATCATTCTCAAGTTTTCATTCAAAATTGTAAGGTTGTTTTTATATCAGTGAGAGGTTATATGTGTCTGCAACAGAGGGAGTGTGTCACTGTGTTTGCTAATCTTAATTGGCTAATTAATTGACTGAGACATCCCTGATTGGCAAATAATGAGGTGTAAACTGTGAACTACCTAGTGTTTCACTTTCACTCCACTGAAGACAAACAATATAATTAAAACAATTAATAGCTCTCAAAACACTTATTTCAAAATAGAATGAAATTGTGCTATTAATTTAATTACTTAAAGACATATTTAATTTTCATGTTTATTACTAAGAGTTCTAATTTACTAATTTTTTGAAAAAGACACGTACAGGAATGTTTAATGTGTACTGTCAACATACGGGCAGCCCAAATACTTCTAATGAAGTAATTCGCAATAAAATATTACATAATTTTTGCAACAAGTCAATAAATATGGAGGTTCAGATCCAAGGCTGAAAGGAATAATTTATACCTTGGCATATTTTATTGTAGGAATCATGTCTCCACTTTCCACGGTAGAGAATCCCTCATTTGGGCATTTAGTGAGAATGTTAGCCAGAATAAAATCTTAAAAGAATCTGCACTGAAACTGCAGGAACACATTCAAACTTCAGTGGATAACATCAACATTTACCGTTAAATATTGCTTTGATATTTGAAGGGATAAAAACTTGGAAGTAATCGATTATTAATCGATTACATCTTCCAAAGTAATCGATTACAATCGATTACAGGACAAAAATGAGTGTAATCGATTAATAATCGATTACACAAAATTCCTCTAAGTAATCGATTATTAATCGATTACATTTTTCCATCCCTGGTCAACGGTATTTAGTCCATAATAATTGATGGTCGTCCGGAGCTTTTGTTTTTAATCTGGTTGAATTATTTGCAAGAAAAAATATACCAATGAAAAACTAGACCCTTAGACATGTTTTATTGCATTGTTATTGTTTTAGTAGGTCGGTTAGTCTGGACAAGAGTTCTCAATACCCCTACACAAAATTTTAGGTACATGTACATGTATGCTCGCTGCTCCGCTTTGACGTCAAAATCTGTTTTGTTGTCGTTACCAGATTGCTGTACCGCGCTTAGATTTTTTAATGATCTCCGTATTTCTGATTGAAATTCTAACAAACTAGCACAAAAAGAAGTCAAAATTAAATTTAAAAATTATATACATATTTTGATTTTTTTTTTGCTCTTACTATGGGTCCATCGGGAGTTTTTACGTTGGTGTTACATATTTTCAATATCTGATTTCGTGACTGCGCCGGGTACCCCTACCACTGACACATTAATATACCAATGAAAAAAAGAAATGAAATATTTTTGAAAGATTTCTTGCTTTTATTAATTCTTAGTGTTTGTCAAACGTATATGCAAATTTTCACCGAAAAACGTTCATTAGAAAGAAGAACATACACAATGTCTCAATAATTTCTGAACAGCCCTCGTAATGACGAATCATCTTACTGTCAAATAAAACTCTGCTGAATGTAATGAATAGGCACCTAACCATTGTATAGAACTCTGCTGAATGTAATGAATAGGCACCTAACCATTGTATAGAACTCTGCTGAATGTAATGAATAGGCACCTAACCATTGTATAGAACTCTGCTGAATGTAATAAGCATCTTACTGTTGTATAGAACTCTGCTGAATGCCCTTTATTTGAATGAGCCGTGTACTAGTGTACTGAACTTTCCATCACTCACCTTATCCCACTTGCCTGACGTCCACTTTGGTCCAGGACATGATTGCTGATTACACTTCTGTACAATGGCTGGCTTTACAGACAAGCCACACTTCTCTCCCATCAGGTATTTGTTCTGATCACTCGTCATACACATTACATCTCTTCTCTGTTCTCCCTCACCACATGTTGTTGAACACTTATAAAGAATAACATTTGGTTGTGTGACTTTTTCCATGACAGAAAAATACCGAGTATGGTATGAATATATTATTTGTCATATTTTCCTTAAAAAAAATCCTGCACTAAAAATTCCATATCCTTACATATCAATTTCCTCTTTGCTTTTATATAATAGGACTTCATTCCTAATTCACTGGGTGTTAAAGCCCACTACCTACTTTTCCCCACTCCCCTGTGATCCAGACTGGGGGACAGTCCAGCCTCCTACAGTGGCGGTGAGTTCTGGGTTTGGAGAGACTACAGCTGCTGTCCAAGAGGATTGTTTTCTCGTTAAGACTGAGCACCTGTACACAGATGACTGTCCTCATTTTTCTCCCTCCCCCACAGGTTACACTGCAGTGTGACCAGTCACTAACAGACCACCTAAAAAAATAGTACACACATTTATACATTTTGCGATTTTGAAAAAATATTTGCATTTCCACAATTTTCTTTACTTGCTGCATACAGAGACATTTTTGCCCCTGTTTTATTTTTGCCCCTTCACCCAAGACACATGTGGGCGAATTTAAAAGGGGTGAAATCAAAGAAAAAAGTATGATTTCTTCCTGTGAAAGGGCGAAAATAATTCTGTGTACAGTATTTGCAATAGATATATATACAAGTCCTTTGAGTACTCCTAAGACACTGTTCTAGTAGCTTTATTCATGCACATAGACTTGCTACTGACTTACAAATTTCATTCATATTCTAAGATAACTACACACATACTTCAATTTTTGGTTTAATATAACACTGTTTCATACACTGAATCTGAAAACATTTGCATATAAATGTTTATGTATTTTGTATAATCTTTCAATTACATGTAAACTTACTCTGGTGGACATTCATTCAATTACATGTAAACTTACTCTGGTGGACATGCATTCAATTACATGTAAACTTACTCTGGTGGACATGCATTCAATTACATGTAAACCTACTCTGGTGGACATGTATTCAGTTAAATGTAAACTTACTCTGGTGGACATGCATTCAGATTACATGTAAACTTACTCTGGTGAACATGCATTCAATTACATGTAAACTTACTCTGGTGGACATGCATTCAATTACATGTAAACTTACTCTGGTGGACATGCATTCAGATTACATGCCTCTTCTACACTGCCTGGTTTAGATGCTGAATCACACAGGGTCTCTAAAACTCTTGATTTATTCTGAATGTTGATACAGACTGGAACGGAGGTCTTTCTTCCTGACCAAAAGCAATTTTTTTTTATTTTGAATTCATAAACATGTGTGAAACACTATCATCTAACATGCAACAGTTCATTTTGTCCTTTGAACTTTACCACATGCTTTGACCCTCACTTTGGATACAATGAAATTTTCAATTTAGTACATGGTGTATACCAGTAGTTCAAAATGAAAGACATACAATAAACAATCCCTTAGGATGATTTTTTCTGCTAAGTGGATTAAAAACAGATTCCATTTTATTCTGAATGTCTGCTAACTCACCTTTACCACAGGTTGTGGAACAGGATGACCAGAACTGCTTCCAGGTAAAGGAAGAGTTTTCTACAGATACTGACATATTTCTAGGGAGGTTGTACACATATGAGATTCCCTTATTGTCTTCTTGTAATAAAACCTGATAAATCATGAAAATTAGGAAGTGTTGTGTGACCTAAAATCTTTGCTAATTAAGAAGTAGAAATTTGCATTTTCTGTTTTCTGTAATCAAATGTTAAGTTACATGTATTACAGCTCATTTTCAAAACCAAACTTCAGCTGGGATGTACAATCTTGTGTAGATAACCAGACAAGCTTAGGTCAAAAGTAGGAACATCCTGATTCCTGATACATGATTTTTAGAACTAAAGGTGTATCAAATCAAATTGGGCTAAAATCTAAATCATATAAGATACAAAAATCTATTTTCCTACCATGAAAACTAAATCCTCAGTTGTGGGTCCTAGTGAATGTATGACTTCAGGTTGTCCATCTAGTCTCTCATAATGAAACACAGTTCCAGCAGCAGAGAATTTTCGGGGCCAGTCTACTGTCCAATCACCATTTATGTAGTAAATATCAGAAGTGTTCTTCAGTGCTGAAACAGATTTGGTAGACTTTAATACTTAGTCTAGTACAAATATGTGAAAACTTAACATAAGTAAGGCAATTCAATTAATGCAATTAACAACCACAAGATGAGTATTTTGAGAACAAATGTCAATCAAACACAGTCAGACATGTCTTCTGAGAGCATTTTTCTGTCACACACACAACAACAGTTTTAGAGAGTACCTGCCAGTCACACATACAACTACACTAGTCTTCAGAGAGCACTTTCAGTAAAACAGAGAACTGGAGAGGTTTTAGGATGCACTGTCACAAACACAACTAGAGAGATCTTCAGAGAGCACCAGTCAAATACCGTCACAACTAAAAAGGTCTTCAGAAAGCACAACCAAACTATAGATGTTTCCAGGCCATACTAGTCCAGTCACATACATAACTAGAAATGTCTTTACTAGACAGAACCTGTCATACATGCAAGTATAAGTAGTGAGGTCTTCATATGCTTTAACAGTCTAAACACCACTGTCACTCATAAAAACAGATAAGTTCATACCAGTCTATAGATAGCATTATTTTGTCACATTTGACTGGAGTTTTTGTCTTATTGTTCATACATGTATATACTCTTGGCTCTTCAGTGGATTTTGAATAGTGACAATACAACTTGAAATGTTAATGTTATTATCATGATGTCATTGTTAAAAGACAACATCTGAAGTTGGCACAATACATGTCCAAAGAAAGCAAAAATAAATTAGACTTGATATAGTAAATAATACATGTTTTCACAATTATAATCATTAATCAAAATTTCAAAATATTATAAAGTCATTGATGCAAGTAAGACTATTTATCAATTTATTAAATTTAAGATTATATTTAGCATTGAAATACTGTTTTTTGCCCAAATTGCTTACTGCTTAAAAGTGCCATCTTCTAGTGAATTTTTTTTTGGTAATTTTCTGAATTACTACTTAATTATACCCAATATACATTTAATATATGTATATATTTATACTATACCCAATATACATTTAATATATGTATATATTTATACTATACCCAATATACATTTAATATATGTATATATTTATACAATACCCAATATACATTTAATATATGTATATATTTATACTATACCCAATATACATTTAATATATATATATATTTATATCATACCAAGATAGCTCTGAGATTGGACTATTTCCGACACACGTATATGCATAGCTCCTTTTGGAATTGTTGTAATTTCGTAATATGCTACAAAAAAAGTAAAAATAAAGAACAGAGAACACAATAATTTTTCATTTAAGAAAACCAATTCTTATTAATCACTTGATGAACTCCTTACTTCCTGGAGAAAGAGATTTATCAAAAGTCCCAGAAACAGTGTAGCATGAAGAGTTGTCTCCATTACAGACTCGACATTTGTCCTCCACCGCAGTAGATCCCAGAATTCCATCACATCCTACGGGCTGTGATTAAGCAACTGAATCAGTTATACAATACTGTTGTCAATTACTATTGGTTATTGGTTTTGATTTTACTCATGGTTATATTAGGATTGTTTTAACTAAATCCTTTCGTGTTCTGTTTTTGTATTCATAATTTTCTGTCAAAGAAAGTAAAATGTGTGATGATTAACCTTTAACTTTAATTACTAAAGAATTTATTCCCCCACAATACATACCAAACACTTTCCATTGATACACATATCCATTTTGTCTGGGTAACACCGAGTTCCATCGATCACTTTACGAGCCTGTTCGGTGTAGAAGTTGAAGCCATCAGCAATACAATGCAAAGCACAAGGCATGTCATGGGCTGGAATAAGGAAATTTTCAATAACCTAGATATTCTGACAGCAATGAAAGCAACATTCAACAACTGTATGTTTTGAAAATAATGTATTATTAATCTAATGTTACAGCATACATAAGATATGAGGGGTACACTACCAGTATACTGAATTACTAGGCACAACCTATAAACCTTCACTTCAATTCTGTCACCAATAATAACAAAATTTTACTTAATAAACTCTACCACACCACTACATGTATATGTAGTAGATTCTACCACACCGCTACATGTATATAGAAAACTCACCACCAGAGAAAGGTTTCCAGTTATAGTATCTCCCTCTGAAAGGTTTCTTATTGAAGTCTGCACACTGGAGTTCTCGGAAATCTTTGTCAATGTTTAGACAAGTCTGTAAAATGAGAATCAGTTTACAGCAATCTCAATCAGCTTATAAGCAAACTCTTTCAGCTTATAGCAAACTATCAGTTTATCTTGATAACCTTATCTTAATCTTAATCACCTTATAGCAATCTCGATGAGTTTATGATAGTCTCAATCAATTTATAACATTCTTAATCAGTTTACAGTAAACTTGATCAGCTTATAGCAATCTCAATCAGTTTGAGGCTATGTCAATCAGCTTATAGCAATCTCAATCAGTTTGAGGCTATGTCAATCAGCTTATAGCAATCTCAATCAGCTTATAGAAATCTTGGTCTGCTTACAGCTATCTCAATCAGTGTATGGCAAACTTCACTGGCTTATAGAATCTCACTCAGTTTATACCAATTTTGATTTGTTTATGCAATATGGGGATGTCAGAATCATAACATTGATTCTATATCTTTCTAAGCAAAGAAATCTTCATATTAATGTCCTAAATTTACAATTTTATCTTTTAAATGAAATACACTTGTGCCATAAAATTCTTTATCATAAATATTTTACACTTGGCTTGGAATGAAATAAATATCCTTTCATTTCATGAAACACCAAGCAGATAAATTAACCATTACAATGTAAAAAGATGCCAGTTGCATATTCAGTACATTCTAGTATCTTCTGTTATCACTGTATGTGTAATCCTCACAATAACTTTACCTCAATATTACAAGACCTGTATCTTTTTCTTTGTCCAACACAGTATTTCCCTCCATGCCTTGGCCTGGGAAAAAAAATCCAGAATTTTAAAGTATTGACTACCATCTAAGTTTATGTTCTAAAATCCTCAACACTTTCATGTGATACCTTCATCAAATCATTACTTCCCCTGAAGAAAGAGTCAATGCTTTGACATACCCATTACCCCTATCACCCATTCAGCAAAAGCATGGATAATTACTCCTCTTGAAGCTGGAATTTATGCCCCTACCAAAGTGGAAGAATTTATTACATTTTATTATGTTTTCTACAGTTGGAGTGGATACTCTCTGCCATTAGTTACTTACTCTGGATCATTACATCTTCTGAAGCTGGATTCAATGCCCCCACCACAAGTCCTAGTACACATGTCCCACTCAGACCACTGACCCCAGGAGCCATCCACAGGCTGAGGCTTGTAGTCTAAGGCTCGACACTCCCCCAAATAGCACCACTGCAGAATAAATGGAGTGTCATCTCTCAAAAACTAACATGTAAAGTATAAATGCACAAAACTTCAATAAGACAATGTTTATTTTAAGTTTATTTCATGTATTATTGGGGAAAAATTATTTTTTTTTTGTAAAATATGGCACCTGCAGGATGTCTTCAATAATTAACCCTCTGTCCTGCATGTTAGATCCATCAATTCCATTAGCAAAAATAAAATTTATATTCAACCTACAGATGCAATCATTTTTCATACTGCTACCACAATTTTTTTGACTAACGCAAACATATGTAAAATCTTACGCTATACTGCATGTAGATGTACTTACTCCTTTCTCATTTGTGTTAATGATAAAACAACCAGTTCCCTCTGCGGCGGGAATTCCCTTGGTTTTACATTCACCCTTGTCATTCAAACACCACAGTCCACTACAAACCAACTGTAATGCATGAGAAAGGCTACATTGTAATGCATGTGAATTAAGCTACATATATAGAGTAATGCATGAGAAATAAAAACTATAAACATCTTGAAATACTTTAGATTCAAAGACTAAACATAATACAAGTACATTGTGAAAGATTCTACTTTAACCAATAGTCAAGAATAAAAGCAGTGTTTTCCTTTTATTTCAAAGTAAAGGGTTTGAGATAAATTGTAACAGGCTAAGGGCTGAGGTTTATGAATAAAATCTCTGTGGACCTTATAAGTTATGTTTTAAATTTTGATTTTTAAGTGGCATTTTTAATTGAAGTGGTCAATTTGACCTGTAGCCTGTTCTTAGGAAAAACGCTGAAAAATTTAATGCAGATAATGTTCTGAAAAATTCCGGGGTGTACCTCAGGTTTACAGTTTCTGGACTGGCTGCCATACTGGATTTTACACTGCTCAGTACTATCTCTCTTGTCCTTCTGTACTCCGTGGTCAGTGTGTTTCACTCGCACTACAGGGCTGTTGTCCAGACATGAACTCTTCTCTGAACTACAAATCAAACAAAACAATCAACATATGAACTTATTACCCCACCTTATATAACAAGAGAGGCCCATGGGCCACAATGCTCACCTTGGGCCTGCTGTTTTTCATCATCAGTTTTTTAAAAAAATGTTTTCCTACTTTTTCACAAGAAAAATTCATACCACATATTGTGGCCCTATCCAGATCCAAAGCATCAACACATTACCTAACTTGAATCTATACATCTTGAGCTAAACACAAAATAGAGAATAGTGAAGACCACAGTAATGTCAAGGTCATCAGACTATGCCACAGTTATATTGCTTTCACCATATGCTGCATATTCATGGTGCGGCATAAAAATTCATACAAAAAGTGTGATACCATTTTCACATTAATTCTATACTGAAGAAAATATTTGGCAACATAATTTTTGGATTTCCGTGAGCCCTTTTGTAAATCAGACCCCTCATACTAACAATCAGACTCACTCTATAAATTCTGTTATAGCATCACGGCTACAAGAGGACCAGTTAAATGGTTTGGTCTCCTTAGACAGTTGGGCTGCCATTAGTCCGGCTGTGAGGTTGGACCCAGGCACTCCACACTTGTTCCCAGACCCATCATGCTGCATTCCAAAGCTATTCAAATATTTAAGTCAGGCAACAATCACAATTTACAATATTTACACTGTACATGAATTTATAATTTTTCTTGGTGTGTTTTTTTTTTTTTTTGATGGTCAATACTTTAAAATCATCATTCATATTTGCATTTTTGCTGATCAGAAATCAGATTTAAGAAGCAAACAAGAGTTGGTATTTTTTTAATGAAAAACAAATGGAATTACTTGTGTCCAATTTCATGGGCAATGGTAAATGCTGAGGCTAGACCGATGTCCTCATTAATGCTACAGCTTCTGTCTCCTCCACACATACCGTTCACAGGGGCCAAGCCTGTGCAATAGAATACCAAATCTCATATTGGGAGGGAATCATTTTTCACATTTTCTTTTTCAAAATTTTCTAGTAAACAAACTTCTTTCCATAAAATTGTTGGTGAAGTATACCTCATCTCATTCTCATTTACTAATGCTATACATATACATGCACATGTACAATGTTTTATTTAATACAGATCCTTGTGATGGATTTTGATGAATATGACACTCACCTAAAGTCCCACAAGGTTCATTTTTATATGAACAAATGTCATACCTAGAGAAAACATAAAATTCTTTAATTCAGATGACAATGGTATTGTATGTATATCTAAGTTTTTATTAGAAGTTGAAAATGTAGGATGAAAAAAAGATAACCAGCATAAAGACAGAAAGACAACAGGAAAAGCTAACTAGAAGTTAAAAACAACAAACAAGAAAGAGTAGTAATAATGGCAAGCATTGCAACAGAATAAATAAAGAAAACAGAATCAATTCTTACCCTGTAAGTAAGATAGCATTATCATGATGCATCGCATTGTTATCTGGAGAGGAGAGATTCAAAAGATGTTGCCATTTACAAAACTTGTCCAGAGAATGGTCGGCATCATGATTCAAGGTTAAGTTTTTCTGAAATATTAGAGAGATGAGACAGAAAATGAATGCCAATTCAGAACATCTAAAGTATGATTCTTAGGGATTAAACATTGTAATCTGCTAAGATGCACCTACTTATAAGGGAGATAAATACAATAAAGCACGCTTAAAGTAAACACAATTAGAATGAAATGACACTTACAGAAAAGCGACTCATTCCCCATGACGTTAAAATATATTGTAAACTTAATTGATACAATGAATTACGCTTATAACGAAGCAAAATCATCTCTCCCTGCAACTTTGTTATAAGCGTATTATACTGTAATACAGTGGCTTCCATTTTATCGGATAGCGGTTTAACGAATATTTCGGCTATTTCAATATATATCAGAGCACAAAACCATTTCTTATATATTTATTAATAATTTCACCTAATATTCTGATGAGAAAATATTGGAATTTCGTTTTATCTGATACAAAAATTTGGACTTTCATAGTGTTTGTTGATAATCAGCACCTTGTTCACACCTCCAACTTCGTATATGAAGCCTTTGTTTACACAGTTTGACACCAATTACCTTGACTGGCTTGAGTACGACAATGAGGGGATTAGTTACGGCAGGACACACACAGGCACTTTACCTGTGTCAATAGTGGGCATAGTAGATAGATATGTTTTGATTACAGTTGTGGTGATCAGCTTGGGTTCAATGATGCACTTGTTAATAATGACAATTATTTGAAATTTTTTCGGCTTGAAATTTTAATTATTGAACTGATTAGCTTGTGTATGACAATTTGCTTGGATAATGAAATAAGCCTATTCAGTCGTTTAACTTGGTCATTTGGCTTAATATTTGTTCACTTTTAAGTGCAAAATTTATGGTTAAAATCACAAACGGCCCATACTATAAATATACGTCTCAAAATCCATACCATCTTTCTCCACATGGCAGACAAGCATGCATGAGACTGGTAAACTCATTGACCAGAGAATTGTCACAAACAGGATAAAATACGTAACCATATTAAAGAAACAAATAAAAACAAAGAAGTTACATTTAAAAAAAAAAATTTCATATTTTTGTTGATTTTTAATTTACAATTTATTCAGGGAAAAATATTTTACAGTTATTAGTCAAGCATTTAGTCTACTTCCGTTTCCAAAATGGCGATCATAAAGAAAGGAATGTAAACATGTGCTGAATTAAGATGGCAATAACTATCAAAGAAAAATATTTTATACATCAATTTCTTTGAAAAATGTTGTCATATTAAATTCATAAGTAAGTGAAATCATTTATTTTAGGAAATTCCCTAAGTAAACTAATCAAACGAAAACGAAAGTGCAAGTTTGAAATTTGCTACGATGTATTATCAATACATGTAGCTCTATACATCTATCTTTTGACTCGGTTGGAGCAATCGGCTATTCTAATAATCGGCTATTCTGATAAAATTAGACTGACAACTTGACTATTGAATAAAACGGGAGCCACTATACTATTTTGCATTTGTTTTGACCTTGACCTTTGTTTAGAAGATTTTTTCAGAGTGAAGTTTTGTAGGAACAAAATTGGGCCAAAAAAAAAGATATCTTTGATGAAGGAATAAAATCTGACCTTGATCTTTGATCTTTGACCTAGAAACTCTGGACATCAATGCACCTTTTATACGTAAACACTCTCTCAGTAAAATACAAATGAAAGCGTTCAAAGATGAAAAGCACACACGTAACTATGCTTTAAAAATATTACAATGCTTGAGATGTCTGTGTGACAGAGAAAAAAGTAATCCAAAAAATGAGGAAGGGGAGTGCACATCAACAACAAGCATATCTGGGTTCATTAGTATAGAGAACAGACATTAAAACTGCAAAATAAAAGATATTTTCATAAAAGGTGGTTCAAATTTCATCTGATAAGCACCCAAAGACAAATGCATACCTCACTGAGGAATGATTCAGAGTGTTAATGGGGGTGATTCTCAATTTTCTTTATACTGTATACAAAATAAATTTGCAGATGATTGAATTGTCAGTGATACTTTCAAGCATTATAGGAATTTAGGGGTGATAGGCAGGAGTAGCAATATAATGGCTGGGAGGGAGATAAAGTAGGGTAGTGCTCTATAGAAGCACACTAATTAAGGCAAATAATTATATTCACTGCAACTGTATGGTAAATACCTACAAGCATAAGCTACTTGTGAGCAGAATATATGAATTTCATTTTCACACATTGAGACATAAATATTCATACATAATATTCTCATTCAAACTTGATCAAGGTTTTTAATGACTGTTCTTACCTGTGGTTTCTCAAACACAATCAGTCGACTCACAACAATATTGACTGCATTTCCGATGCTGGCATCATGATACAATTTTGCCACCTGACCTCAAATGAAGATATTTTTATCTTAAAATCAACATTAAGTCATACGAATCATTTTGAACAAAAACATTCAATCTGCAATATTTACTTAAGTGGAGCTTAAAACATGTTGCATAATGCTGTAATTGTACTCACAATATTCATAATGGACAGGACGTATGACTGTATGACCTTCTTTCCATGATATTCCACCATTTTGTGATCGGCCACCACTAAAGTCTCAACATTTTTCTCCCTGCTGACCGCTGACCTTTTAATACGATCCCTAAATTTCAATTTATTCCAGGGACTTATGAGTCCAGGATCACCTTGAGCTATGTTATCCCTCTGTCCAAATTTGTTTTTAAGTATATCTACAATATATCTTTTACTTTTAATTCATTTTTCAAAGGAAAAAAAATCAGAACTTCCTGCAAGTGTAGCATTTTGAATTTAAAAGCATGCAAACATTTAGCAATAGCGAGTGCAGTGAACTCTATAGACTAATGTGTAAAAACAGGGGAAATTGAAAGTGAAATCTATACATTCGTATAGCAAATTTTTGTGTGAAACCTTCCAAGAATTCTTTTGCTACCAGAATTCCATTTGAAGATGGTGAATACAGCAGTACAGCAATTATCATGAAGATTTCACAAAGAGCTTAAAGAAAACAAATTATATCTACACTACGATGCCTTTTGTTACAAAAATTGCATTACTGAGACTCCATTATAAAAATGTAACTAACATATGTAATGTGATGTCACAGTCTATACTGGATCTCGCACTGTTTGAAGAAGCAGATGAAAGTAACAAGTGTAAGCTGTAAAGGATGGCACCCAGAAATAAATACAAATGCACTCGCCCCAACGGTATGTCACACCATAAAATATTAATTAAGAAAAAACTTCCAGACTACAACCTGTGACACCACAATGAACATTATCTTTTGGAAACTGTATTGATGAGCGCTTGTAGACTACATGTGGGTGTCCTTTGCCGCTATCACTGGCTGTATCATTCCAGAGGGGTTCAACAAAATAATCCTCATCCTCCGTTTGAAAAATGCCATGCTGTAAATTAAAATTGTTGATCAGCAAAAAACAAATTCACTATGCACTGATTAAATCCCAACACTAAAAATCTAACAGATTTTTTTAAGGTTTTGCTGCAAGTTCGATTTTGTGATGCTGGACTATGGTAATATTTTTAAAATGTGTCTACACATAATAAAGCCTTCAATCGATTGTCTTAAAATTGTTTATATCATTTCATTTTCTATGAAAATCAAAGCAAAATCTTAATCAGAAACAAGATTACTACGACATCTTACCAGTCCTCTGATTTTACCGCGTTTCTGTCAGAATACACTGGAAATACTCTTACCACAGTAAAAATAAAATCTAGTACGCAATATGTAATTTTCCGGAAAGTGTGGAATGGAACTGGTACTGGGAGGCACGAGGGTTGCCCCCAATAATTTTGCCGATATATAGTATACTACAGAAATAAAATAAGCATAGCTTCTTTATGTGTATGTCTCCTCAATATTTTTTTGGCTTGTCAGGGATTTTTTGCCCCCCCCCCCTTCAATGAAAATGTTTGGTTATGCCCCCCCCCCCCCGCTGAAATTGCTTCCTACGAGCCTGAATAATATCTGTTGATTTAATCCTTTCCTCTAAGGATTATTAAAAAGGTTCATCAGTGAAATATTCTTAGGATTACGCGTAGCAGGGGACTTCAAAAGAACACTTGAAAAGTAGTGAGGATAATATACCACCACCCACCCACCCCCTCCAAATACGAAAGAAAAGAAAAGGACAGACTTTTTTTTAGGTGGGAAATCTTGGATCATTGTTAGATGCAGAGTCATACTTAAATTCTTCCCATATTAGCTTCCGAAAAATTTACGAACAAATTCTTAGTTTAGCTGTCGACTTATTATATATTATCCTCATTTGGCGAAACGCACTGATTAGTATCATAAGTAAATCAATGTTTTAGACAAGATATCATATTAATGCATGTCTTATTAGTTATTACCAAACCAAAGCAGTTGCTCATGGCTGCTGTAGAGACGTGTGGTTCACTACTGTAGCCGACGTAATGACAGTTAAGTTTCGTGTCCATCTCGAGTTCCTCCCCCTGATCTCCGAGAGAGCCAACATAAAATGTTCTGGAAAACAGACCTCGGTTTATTTCTAGTTTAAAATGAAATTCTTGTCCAAAAGCTGATATTCTATAGAAGACCGGTGATGGGTTAGCTCCCCTACTAAGTTCTCTTCTTGTTCGTCTCGTTTGATTCTGTCTGCTCTCGTGAAACACATTGTAGCTCAGGAACCTTCCATTCTCATCCACCAGCGTCGGAATTACCATTTCATAATGTCCAATTCTTTTTAATAAAGCCGCTGAAAAAAATGAAGCCTACGAATCAATCATTCGACTTCAATGTAACCATGAAAAAAAAATGAAATAACTTGGTACATGTAATATATGTAAAGACAAATGCATGTAGAATAGTACAATTCTCTCTCTCTCTCTCTCTCTCTCTCTCTCTCTCTCTCTCTCTCTCTCTCTCTCTCTCTCTCTCATTTAATTATACTATTGAAAAAAAAGTTCTTATGTTAATCACCTCTTCCCTGTGAAATGTTTTCGTCTTACAGAGTAATATTAATACATAGAATTATCCCGTTTTCAGTAATTAATTTTACTGTCACAGTTAAACACTACTCTTTGTTTCGAAATAAGCTCTTGTTTTGTAACAACTTTTTGTTACACAACCTTTTTACGAAACACGCGTCCAATGAATGGATATTCAGGAGCAGTTTTTTTTATGTATACTATTTACCTGTTTTCCTATTTTGTATCCTTAGATGCTCATTCTCGTCTCTCTGATTTTGGCTCGCACTTGCAAAGATAAATTCTATAGCACAAATACAAACGAATCCAAGAGCTTTCATAGTAAAATTTTCGAACTTTGACACCAATTATGGCTTAAGTCCAAACTCACCAGTAAAATTAGTAACAAACTTTCCATAAATTAACGACAAACTGAAAAAGTTTCGTTCTCTCGACTTTTTCCTTTAATGCAATCTAAATCAAACTTTGAGTTCGAAATGTCCCGAGCAGAGAATCCGTTTACTCTGGTGTGAGTAAATAAGAGTATTTCCATTCAAGCTCAGGCCCTGATTCAGCAAACTTCCTCTTATCCAGGGTTAATGTCCACACTAACTCGGTTGCATTGCTGTTTGCAATATAGACTTTTTCCTCTCAATCATCAATCACTTAACCTTGTCCATTAGCATAATTTGCTTTCAATTTTTCAAAGCAAGCCCACCAAATTTAATTTGCATGTGATTATAACATGAAAAAATCTGTTCCAATGCCGTTTAGGCTTCAGAATACATTTTGCGTTTTAATGATTTGAATTGATATTTAAGGCGGGCGAAAGTAGCGGACCAACCTTCAGAACATTTCACGGAGAACCTCTTTCAAACAAAACCTACTTTGTAGTCACTGAGACTAATCATACATCTTAGATTCTTGGACACAGATTTTCACACAGTATCTTTAACCTGGTCAGTAATTACTCTACCTCCTTAAATTAAAACCTGGAGGTACCCGAGGGGTCTTTTCAGTAATTGCGACACCCTGTAGAGGTCAAAACAACCGAACGCAAAGGAAAATGGAAGGATTAACAGTACAATGACACAGTGTAAGATTGGAGAAAATCTCCTCATTGTAGGGGAGGCTGCGGCTTTAAACCACAAATTGATTGAACTAACGTTTAATTGGCATATGGCGCTGTGTGGTATTCTGTCGGTAACCTTGCAGACCCGAAATAAGCGTGTATGGATGACGATTTTGTACGAAAGGTGCAGATCTTCTATGCACAATTTAACAAGCCTGTGTGGTAATCCATTGATATGGCACAAGTGTTTCAACAGCCTGTAAAAAATAAAGAATATATGCGAAATAGGCAAAAACGATTTATGACGGAGTCAATACTCGGACGGGCATTGCGCATGGTTTTGTTTAACGTCAGATTGAAGAGAGACGTATTCTTGCAAACCTGTGTGAATTCTAGATAGTACATAAACTTTATATCTATTCATATATTTTGTTCTTTGCTTTTAACAAAGAAAATTCACAAAGATCAATGTGCATGTTTAAGAAACGTTAATCTTTGTAGAATTTGAATAAATAAAGAATTTCTAATGGTATGGTCTCGACTTTTGTCATACCAACAGCCAGTCAGGATTTTCAAATAATGGAAAACTAATTGTTGAAAATATCCTATTAAATTAAAGAACTAATGAAAATCGATTTATTCTAAAGTTTCTGTACCAATCACGGACACGTACCACTTTAATGAAGAAATCTACGAAATGCCACACAAATAGAGATCTTAAACGTTTTGCTCACGTGTATTTTAAGTTTCAGGTTACGTCTGAGAAATTAATAATGCTACAAGAAATATTCTTAACAAAGTAAGGCTAATTATGATATGTGACTAAAAATTTGAAAAATGATTAAATAATTAATTAATTTTGGTATATCCTTAAGAACTTGTCTATTCTTCAACCTCTATTTCTAAATTATTTATCTAGGATCCAAAACTGTACCAGTTGACTGTCGCATTTTAGCTAATCGTGTTAAAAAATTACTTCGCATTCTGGAAATTTAATATTCTAGTTATCGTTAACCATTAGGTGGATAAAGAAATAGAGTGAAGCACTGGATTCCCCATGATTTCAGGTTTAGTAACCTATATAACTAATTTGTGTCCGGGGTCCCGCTGGTTGCGTACAATTCCTGCCTCCGTTTACCGTGGCGATCAGGTAGAGTGAAGCATCACCTAGTTACTTATCCCCCTCCATTATTCAGCATGTTCCCCCTTCTTCAAACAAACATTACATGAACCCAGAGAGTGATAATGGAAAATCAAGACCATTACACAGCGCCTCATTAGAATCCGAAAATTCCAACTTACGGTCGATCTTAGGGTCTTATTTTGTGAGCACTAGAATAGTTATCCTGTGTTTGTGCTAAAACTTTATGTGTTGGTGTCCTTTTAAATTTTTTGGCATTGGTCAGTATTCTAAATTATATTATTATAACTTTGGGCTTGGTAAATACTGAACTTTTCAATGTCTAAATCATCGTACAGACTTAAAATTTAAACAGCAATAATATATGATATAACAACTCTAAAAAGTACACGACATTTAGTAGACACCATAAACATTCATGCGATATATATGTACATTGTTTTTTTTTATATTTTTAAAAATCAAATTTCCACCATGTAAAAAAGCTTTTTTGTCAGTAGCCTGCATCGATTTTTAAAAATGGTTCGTCCTCTGGGCGTTCTCGATCCTGTCTATCGAATTAGTTGGGAGACATAAACACCATATGCAGGTGATGCTGGAATACTGAAGTAATACTACATAAATAAGAGAAGTTTACGAAGGAAAAGCTGATGTCATTCAGTTTAGTTATTATCGTCTATAGTCAGCAAAACACCCAAATATGAAACAGATAAGACAGACTTTGTAGTGTCTTTTATTTCGAGTTCACTGGGATATATCGAGTCGACATATATGTATGAATGAAAGTAACTTTTGTTTATTGATTTAAACAAAAAATAGATCCGAATGTCGAGTTGAAGGTCAGAGCAAGTTTTCTTCTTCTCATACAGAAATTTCTGAATAAATTCTGCATCATGGGACTATTAAAAAAAAGTCAGCTTAAAAAGGAGCACAATTAGTGCCCATCGAAATTCCAACAGATTGTCGGAAGATCTGGCCCAGGATCATGAAGCAGACTTAGATTTAAGTCAAATTTCCAGTCATTCATAAAATGATTTATTTATTATATATTTATTACAGTGGCGTATCCAGGATTGACAAATTTTCACTTAAGTCTAAGACTGCTTCATAATCCTTGGCCATGGTCTCCAAAAACTACATAGATATTGTCAATGAGGAACTCTAGCATATTTTTAATATCAATGTGTGTATCTTCAAATGAGTGAGAACACCAGGAACACCTAGATCCGCTCCTAGATCTCAGGACTATTAAAGTGAAAGTAAAACCGGAAGTCCTCAGCTGCAGAAGGAATATGGCGACGATAAACAAGCAGAAAACAAGTACCATTCTGGACAAACCTCTAGGAAAAGGAAAACCAGAGGTATTGTAATCTCATATATAATTAATTAGAAAATTGTTAGCCAGACTTTGCTCCAAGAGGTCGATTTCAGAATTCATACTTCATAGGAGGGTTTTATTGCAGCCCGGAGGACCGGGCTGCTCTATACATATAAGTTTAAGTGTTGGTATATGGGGATTGAGGTGGGAGAAGTTATTCAGAATCAAAGGTTTTCTAAACATTAAAAAGATTGTTTATCAGAATGTTCTTTCCCTTTATAAATTACGAGATACACAATATATTTACTTCCATAAAGTGAATCTGTAAAAATATATATGTTTTTCATATTTAATATATAAATTTGCTCATCATTTACTATCGAAAAAACGACAGGTCCCTTTTTTTAGAACATCGAATTTTACTTATCGCATAAAAACGTACTTTACACAGTTCGTGTTTTATATTCTTAAAGTGAAAGACATTTTTGAAAATAGGTGATGCATGTGTCTGGTTTCAAATTATATTTTATGCAGCCAACATTTACTTGAGGAATTGATAAAGTTTAAAAGGGTATCGTTTTTGTTCGATTTTCATCCGACTATAAGTTTTCAAAATATTCTCGACTATCGTCTCCATCATTTAGATGCATGCCTTTGTCACACATATCGAAGCGGTTTGATGATCAAGACTCATTTCCATTGTTTACTTTATTTATTTCCCGGGCGACAATTGATGGTTACATCAATGTTTTCTTGTTCCACCTGTGATGGCTTTAATAACAGGTTGGGAGCAATTCCACTATAGTGAGATTACCTCGCTATTTAAAGCCCGATTATCCCTCGTTAGAATAGAGAAGAATAAACATTACCATAAACAGGTGTTTTGTTGTTTTTATTATAAAGTAACCAATAATCTCGTGCTTTTGTAAAAAATGCGGGAGAAAAATGGATTGTTGCACAAATTTCCCCCATAAACTGACAACATAGGCTAAAATTTTAAAATTTACAATAGGCATAAGGCATATTACTTTTCCTATCTCCGATATCAGCACTAGGTTACATGTAAACCCTTCGCAGTCATTACACCTGACTTCTTTCTTATCACTAGTACCTGCATGGAATGGTTGACACCAGTTCATGTTCATGTTGGACATTGTTGGTTATCTTATATTTCTTTTGTTTATACTGGTGTCTCATAATATCGCGGTACTTATTTCTTTTGCATAAAAAAGTTATTCCAAATTCTTACATTAACTTTTCACCAAATACTATTCATAAACCTATTAATGGCCTAACTTTTTAGTGGCTAATTATTTTCTAAGCTTTCTTTGTTTACTTGGTAGTCTATTTTTATAACAGGAAGTCTTATTTACCTCCTAAAGTGGAGAGTCTCATTGAATCGCAGTATTGAAAAACATGGAGGTTTGGCACGGTCACAAAGTACAATTTTTATTTTTTTAATTTATGATGTAAATCTACATGAAAACTTAACTATAATACAAACTTAAGGCTTTCAAAATATGAACTTTATTATGGATTTTACTTGGTTATATATTCAATGGTCTAAATAAAATAAAAACGGGAATGGAAATCTGTAAAATTTTGTTTTATTTGAATAAATATTTTTTCAAACGGGTGTTCCATACTTTTAATCATCACAAAAGTCAACATTCAGATGACAGACAGATAGTCCATCAACAAAAAGGATATGAGCTATTTATTACATTTTCAACAGTGAAATACTGTGATTTATTTATTGAATAAAAGTGATATTCTCTCACAGTGTGAAAGGATACCAAAATGATATTCTCTCACAGTGTGAAAGGATATCAAAGTAAGTAAAAATTAATTTCTGGCCTCTCATAAGATAGAGATAGTAACTATGCATCTTGATAGAGCTAAAACTGCAAATTTCTTCCCAAATATGTTACTAAAATCCATACTATGTAATGTTTTCAATCACACATCTGCTAAGCTATTACGTCTCATCCGCTCAACTATGACGTCAAGCCTTTGACACTGTGTTATGAAAAGACAGAGGCAAAGTAAAAATCAAAGAAAATGTAATAAACAGAAAATTCAATGTTTTGTAGATGAATATGGAATTTATTTCACGAGTGGGACAGGATTTTTTGATATTTTCACTCATGCTTCGCACTCGTGAAAATATCAAAAAATCCTGTCCCACTCGTGAAATAAATTCCATATTCATCTACAAAACATTGAATATCCTCTATGTATCGTAATTTTTGGGAAATACCGCGATACAATGGAACCCACGATATAATGAGAATTAAGGATACATTTTATTGCAGTTTATAAATGTGCATTTGTGTTTGTTTGTACTGTACTGACCTGTGCAATTGATGTAAGTTTCTTTGGTAACTTTCTCCTGCCGTGGAAGGTGCACAGTTACTTTTGTCGCTATTGAGGTTTTTACAACATACGAAAATTTTGGTGATACCCATCCCCAAGCAGGGTCATAGTAACTCAGGTGAGCATTGTAGCATATGGTCATCTTGTCATGCATTTTGTTATTAATAATTAGGGAGTCAATTTTGTCAATAATTCATATTTGAATATTCAATGAAAGTATTTGAATATATTCGAATATTCGATAAAATAAATAAAATCTGTTTTATTTTAAATATGCATCATGAAAGGTTAAGCATAGGTATACTTATATTGGAAGTAAAATTGTATGAAGACTTTTGTAGGTGTACAATAAGAAATTTCATTTGATATTTTTCAATGTTTGAAATAAATAATTGATTTAAATGTAGAAAAGTATAATTTTAACAAGTGAAACGTGTATTTATAGTAGCTCCATCTGAGGAACCAGTCGTCTTACTAAAGGCAACGGTATACTGTTCAGATTTCAATGCGTGTAAATCTGCCTAATAAGAGATATGACTATAATCTTTGATACAATGTAAACAAATATTTCCATAGACAATTTTTATAGGTAATTAACTAATTTCCCGATAATGAATATAAAATTCAGGATTATGTACAACCCGAGGTAATCAAGTAATTTACACATTTATTCTGAAATTAAGCCCTTTACAATATTAATTACAGACTTAGGCTAATTCTATCGGACATCCAATCAATGATCAATTAATTCATACTCTTCATGCCTTTAGGCATTTTAAGATTTCATTTTGTTGTCCTCGATTCTAGATCCGATCATATCTAACTAAAAAAAAAAACTATGAAAGTACGTTTTGTATTATACATAAAGCATTATTGTACAATTCTTTAACACCTTACTCAAAACAAAATACATGTCATTTAGTAAATCTATAAGATAAGAAAGTAGTGAAAGAAATCAGGCGATCAAAATTGATTGCTAGTAAATTAAACAGGGATAATTCAAGCACTGTTCTAATCAAAATTTATCAATCACAGTACTTCTTTTTATGAAATCTGAAAACACCAAATATTTGAATCTTAATTCATATTCGAATATCAACACATCGAATGAATATTCGTTGCCATCCCTATTAATAATTTGATTTTGGTTGTAATGCTTCATTTGCTTGCTTAAAAAAATTAGTTTATGTAACCAGGGTTGGAAAAGTTTACGCTTTTTTATAAACCACTTCATGGTTTATAAAGTGTAAAATGCCCCAGCCCAGGTTATATGATATAACTTGGCAGTTCGCTGCATTCCTTAAATAGATATCTTTAATCATTGTAGGTTAATGTTGCCACTTTTGCCCTCTTGTTCTCAGAGATGGTACAATACTGCCAAAACAGAGTATACAGTGTTTCTGAGCTTCAAACAAAGTGAGTATTAAATTATCTGGTGTGTGTTTTTTTTTGTTTGTTTTTTTTTTTTGTTGTTGTTGTTGTTTTTTTTTATTTTTTTAAAGAATTTTTTAAAAAAAGTTTCAAACTGACAAAACGAAAATCAAAGATGTGGACCAATACACTAGGGCTGGGAAGATATTATACAATTATGGACTTCAGTGTAGGTCGATATGTGGATATAAGGACTCATGGCAATTGATATTGACCGAAGACACAGAAAGTGACTGTGACCGAGCCAGCAAGGTCGCTATCATTTTCTGTGTCTGAGGTCAATATCAATTGCCATGAGTCCTTATAACCACATATTGACCCTTCACTGAAGTCCATAATAGTTATATTATATAATCAAGTGATCTCAAAGTGAATGCACTGACAAAGTCCTAACTGAAGAGACTTGGCTGTCAGTACGTCACAATGGTTAAACACATTTAAAAACATGTGACGTCACGTTCTACGTAACTTTAGTGTAACCGATATCATTTTCCACGGACGCACTTTTGCTTTGATATCACAAAAGGAGGAATATCACGTGACGTCCTTTCAGCCTATGAAAATTACGAAAATGATCATCTTATATAATATATCGAGATATCGATTATATCGATTCTGTGTGAGGACGATACGCATATCGATACATTATGAAGAAATATCGCAAAAAAAATTCTGACATGTTTTCTTTATTTACTTAACATTTTGGGTTTAATTTATAAAATAAAAATTCTAAATATAAATATTAATATGATATACATAATAATTAACACCATTTGTGTAAAATAACTTAGTTTAACAACTGATAAACAACTTTGAATAAATTATTTTTATTTGTGAAGAAATGTTTTCTTCATTTCAATACAAAATAAAGATTTTACAACTAACCCAACATATCGTGATACATATCATATCGTGGCTCAAATATCATGATATTAATTGTTATAGAAAAAGTGGTGTCATCCCAGCCCTACAATACACTTAAATAAATCGCATATAAAAATTCAATGTCTAAATTCAGGTAAACTGAATGCATGTCGTATGCTTCAATTTTAGATGAGAGCTTTTATATCACTTCTTTGAGGTGACAAAAAAAAGAGGTGTTTTCAGTTTACCTGAGCCAGTATTGTCTGTCTGTTTGTCTGTCTGTTATGATGGGTCTATCGTCTGTGAATTTTTCTTATTCTTAACATACTCTCTTGAACCACTGGGCAAATAATCTCAACAAAACTTGCCATAAGACACCCTTGGATAAAGGGGATTCAAGTTTGTTCAAATGAAGAGCCATGGTCTTTTTAGCTCACCTGAGCCGAAGGCTCAAGTGAGCTTTTCTGATTGAAATTTGTCTGTTGTCTGTCGTTGTTGTTGTCATCGTCATTGTTGGCATTGTCATTGTAAACTTTTCACATTTTCATCCACTGGGCCAATTTCAACCAAACTTGCCACAAAGTATTCTTTGGTAAAGAGGATTCAAGTTTGTTCAAATGAAGGGCCATGTCTTCTTCCAAGGGGAGATAATTATGAACTCGTGAAAAATTAATGGCATTTAAAAATCTTCTTCTCAAGAACCACTGTGCTTGAAAATATGAAACTTATGTGGAATTATTGTGAGGTAGTGTAGATTCAAATTTGTTCAAATCATGACCCCTGGGGTAGGGTGGGGCAACAATGGGGGATCAAAGTTTTACATATGAATACATAGGAAAAATTTTAAAAATTTTCTTCCTCAGAACAGCAAAGCCATGATTGGTCATATTTATATGCAAGCATCCTCAGGTAGTGTAGATTCAAGTTTGGTCAAATCATGACCCCCAGGGGTAGGGTGGTGCCAAAATGGGTGATCAAAGTTTTGCATAGGAACACATAGGAAAGAATCTTTAAAAATCTTCTTCTCAAGAACAGCAAAGCCATGATTGGTGAAATCTATATGCAAGCATCCTCAGGTAGTGCAGAATCAAGTTTGTTCAAATCATGACCCCCGGGGGTAAGGTGGGCCCACAATGGGTGATCAATGTTTTACATACCGGTAGGAATACATAGGAAAAAAATCTTTAAAAATCTTCTTCTCAAGAACAGCAAAGCCATGATTAGTCATATTTAAATGGAAGAAGCCTTGGGTAGTGTAGATTCAAGTTTGTTCAATTCATGACCCCTGGGGATAGGGTGGGGCCACAATGGGGGATCAAAAATTCAAATAGGAATACATTGGAAAAATCAGCAACAGTCATTTTGTGTCATATTTATTCAAAAGCATCCTTAGGAAGTGTAGATTTAAGTAAGTTCAAATCATACCCCTCCCCCCCCCCCCCCCCCAAACAGTGATGATTCCACAGTAATGGCCTCTTTTTCTCAACCACCCAAGAAAGTATAAGTCTGTCCTTCAAAAGAGACCTTAAATACGATAGATTCATGACTCTTGTGCTGGTATGGAAATGAAACCTCCCCGCACTCACGTCATTAACAAAGTTTAAATTTGCCTCTTCACCTGTAGTCAAATTTCAGAATGAACGAAAAGTTTGTGGTGGCATGTAAACAATGTATCGACCAGTACATGTATCTGTATTTCAGTAAAGGTTGCTTTCTGACAAATGGCAGAGAAATTGCATGTGTTGAAAGATGAAGTTATTTACTCTTTCATTACAAGTTAAACCACCAGTGTCAGAAATACTGAATAGATGTAGATTTGAAAGTATGTAATATTTATAATGTTACATGAATGTATATTTTAAGCATAAGATACAAAGTAAACTTGCCTTCTAATTAGAATCAGACGATTTATAAGTGTATACAGTATCATTGATTTATTTTTTCTTTCAGATTATCAGAGTTAGGCCAACATGTTGGTTCACACATGCTTGACCTCCTGTTTGTCAGAGAGAAGGGATATAAAAGGGAAACAAAACTACTTAACATGCTCTTATTTATAAAGAACAATTTCTGGAAGGTAAAATTTGCTGATGTTTACAGAGTTACTTTATTTTAAGTTGTCTAATCAGAATAATCAGAATTTGGATTATGAAGATTGGCATGGGTTTTATCCTTATTCCTAAACAGAAGCCTCGGGTGCAGATTAAACATTTTCTGCTGAGTCAGGGATTTTATCCATGGATGATTTTTAAATACCTAGAATTAAAACACTTATCTCTCTAGATGAACAATCTGAACTTTTTCTATTAATGAAATAAAAAAAAACGTGTCTTAAAAATTAAATTTATGAATTGAGACAAACGTGCAGGGTTAGCAATCATATTATTAAAAATGCTATAAAATTATCTGGTTTATTTATTTTTTTGTAGACTTTGTTTGGAAAGGAAGCAGACAGATTAGAACATTCCAATGATGATGAGAAAACTTGTATCCTTTTATCATCTCATTTCATTCCTTATCAGATTAATAAATCTGTTAATTAAAATATGTTTATACAAGGACCATTCAAAATTTGTTGAGACTTTTGCTTTTACACTATAAAAGAAAGAGATAAATTCTTTAAAAAGCACCAGAATTTTATCAAGAACATGCTGTGAATAGTGTTCATGCTACATGAAAAAGATGCTGGAATAGGCATTGCAAGAATAGTTTCCTTAAAACACCATAGATTATATTATAGAAACTGAACACCTAGTCAACAAATATATATCTGTCCCAAAAGACAAAGGTAAGCAGGTTTAAACTTAGTTAACTTACTCTATTCACATTGTTTTTAACCACAACTCGTATATTACTGTATACAGGGTTATTTTCGCCCTTTCACACTTGCAAACAATTTTGCCCCGTTTTAAATTCGCCCAGTTGCAGTTCTGTTTAAGAAATTATACTTTGTTCTTTGAATTCATCCCGTTTTAAATTCGCCCATGTGTGAGAAGGGCGAAAGGGGCGAAAATAAAACGGGGGCAAAAATTTCCCTGTACACAGTTTTTGTCACACAGTTGAGGGAGTGAACTGAAAAGGAAAATATACTGGGGAAGAAATAAAAACATGTACATGTATTAGGTGAGGGGAAGCAAAGACATACATGTCTTTTTCTGATCACATTTTGTCTGGCGTCTGTCTGTTTTTCCGTCCGTCTGTAAACTTTTCACATTTTCAACTTCTTCTCAAGAACCACTGGGCCAATTTGGACCAAACTTGCCACAAAACATTATTTGGTAAAGGGGATTCAAGTTTATTCAAATGAAGGGCCATACACTCTTTTAAGGGGAGATAATTAAGAATTGGTGAAAATTTGGTGTAATCTTTTAAAACTCTTCTTCTCAAGAATCATTGGGCCAGAAAAGTTGAAACTTATGTGAAACCTTCATTACATAGTTTGGATTCAAATTTGTTCAAATCATGACCCCCAGTGGTAGGGTGGGGCCACAATGGGAGATCAAAGTTTTACATAGGAATATATAGGAAAATTTTTAAAAATCTTCTTCTCAAGAACAACAAAGCTATGATTAGTCAAAATGATATGAAAGCATCCTGAGGTAGTGTAGATTCAAGTTTGTTCAAATCATGACCCCTGGGGGTAAGGTGGGGCCACAAAATGAGGGATCAAAGTTTTACATAGGAATATATAGGAAAATGAAAAATATTCTCAAGAACAACAAAGACACAATTAGACATTACCCACAGTGGGGGATCAAAGTTTTACAAAGGAATATATAGGAAAAATTGAAAATTTTCTCAAGAACAACAAAGCCATGATTATTCATAATAATATGGAAGCATCCCCAAGTAATGTAGATTCAAGTTTGTTCAAATCATTCTCCAGTAGTAGGGTGGGGCCATAATGGGGGATCAAAGTTTTATACACTGTATATGAACATTGACATGAAAAAAAAATCTTTAAAAATCTTCTTCTCAAGAACAACAAAGCCATGATTTATCATATTGATATGGAAGCATCCCCAAGTAGTGTAGATTCAAGTTTGTTCAAATTATGATCCCCCAGGGTAGGGTGGCAGACATCATTAAAATTCTGTTTTCAAGAACAGAAAAAGCCATGATGAATTATATGAATATGAAAGCATCCTCAGATAGTTAAGATTCAATTTTGTTCAAACATGACAGCTGGTGGTAGGGTGTGGCTAGAACAGGTGATCAAAGCTTTACATATGAATATATAGAGGAAATCTGCTTATGAAGAACATCAGGGGCATATTGTCTCAGGTGAGCGTTGTAGCCCATGGGCCTCTTGTTAACATTTATTTTCACTCAACAGAGCCAAAATGTTTTTGTCCAGAACTATGGGACCACATTTCATTATTAATATACAAGCATCCTATATTTATATCCCAAGCATTAAAAGTAGTGAGTATAGTTGTGGGTGTCTGGGCATACCTCCTTCCGTCAGTACATCCGTTACACTTGGATGTAGCCATCCCTTATCTGCAACTCCTATTACACTACTGAATGCAATTTAATAAAACTTTCACAAAATCTTTACATGTATTACATTTTTCAATAGGACACATATTTAGGGTTTCCCATTACAAAACATGGACTCTGCCATTCTTTCTATAATATTAGGGGTACCCTAGTAAGAATAATCTAACTGTGTCTCGGGACAAGCCCTCACCACCTGGTCCGTAGGACGTCATTTTAACGATGGAACGTTCTATCAAGGGGTACCCATCTTTTATCCACAACTCCTCCTATACCACTGAATAAAATTAAGACTTTGACAGAGTCTTTGTAATTTAGTGCCATTGTGCACCTCCTATTTTTGTTTACCCTTGATTGGACAGATATTTGGGGTTTCCCATAGGAAAGCATGAACTTCGCAATTTTTGGTACACTTGGGGGTAGCCATCACTTATCTGCAACTCCTGTTACATCACTAAATGCAATTAATTGAAATTTTTACTGAACAGTGGTGGATTTAAGGGGGGGGGGGGGGGGGGGGGGGGGGCGCACCGGTGCGCGCCCCCCTAAAATTGTCAAAGTTAGTGTAAATCATAGTTTCATTGAGAAAATGTAAAAATGTCTACTCGGTAGACCTCATTTTTACCCTACAAAATCTCTAGAATCCAGGAGCTGCCTACTTTTGGCGCCCCCTCTAACTTCAATTCCTGGAACCGTGTCTGCTGAATCTTTATAACGTAGTGCCATTTTCACCTTCTATGTTACATTTTGATTGGAAGGATATAGGGGTTTCTCATAACAAAACATGGACTTTGCTGTTCTTTATTTAACATTGAGGGTACCAATCTGTAATACATAGTATCTTTGTGCACATCCTATTTTACGTTTTGATCAGACAGATATTTGGGGATTCCCATAGCAAAACATGGACTTGCCATTTTACTCAATAAAGGGGGTATTCATTTCGTTAATGCAACCCCCTCCTAAACCCCTGAATGAAATTCAATGTAACTTTCACAGAATCTCATTTACATACCAGCAAGAAATGCACTTTGTCATTATACTCATATGGGAGGGGGGGTATCATTTTGTGAACTTAGTGCTCAAGTAGCTCTAGTTTTAAGATTGTATTTCATCAGGTGCTCTACCCACTGAGCTATCCAACCTGATATCCACATCCCAGACCATTATATTGCTCTCTCCTTAAATTGTCTTTGCCCTCGAAGACACAACCCAACTTCTTTTTAGCTCCTTTCAGGACTTTCACCTCCAAGTCCAGGTTTGGTTGACAGCACTAAATTTGTACGGGTAAAGAGAAAATTTATGGCTGGACTAGGAATCGAACCAGGGACCCCTGCACCACTAGTCAGTATGTGCTCTACCCACTGATCTATCCAGGCCAATAAGCATGGCCCAAACCACTACATGTCTAGAACTTTCTAATGGATGACCATTGACACAGTACTTTACAGATTACTTCTGACCTTTGGGGTGTCATGACCTTGACCCAGTCATTTACAAGTCACTTGTTCAAGGTCACTGTCAGAAAAACTCTTAAATTACTATCCTAGCCATGGGTAGACATTGGAAGCTCATACTAGGCACAAGGCATTGCTTATAACCTTGATATGTGTTGTGACCAACAAAGTCATTTGGGTAAGTTCAAGGTCAATGACAGAAATTGTGCCTGGCCCATAACTTTGTAAGAGAAAACATTGGAAACATTGACAAGAATGCAGCAAGAGACCCATGGGCTTTGATGGTCAGCTGATTATCATGAATTTCTCAGGCTTATGATCACTTTGGGCCTGGAACTGATCTAAACTTGTCAATTATGTGGCAGAAATTTTACAGTCTGGTGAGAAATCTATCACCATTACCATATTCACTCAGCTTGTCTACTAGAAGTTCAAGAGTAAAGAAAATAAATTGCATTATACTTAAACCTAGTCCTCATCCTGGGGCTTGAACCCTGTGCCTGGTAGCTGCATAACTGTAGTTCTCTGACTGAGAAAATTAGGAGAGACAAACCAGACAGAATTGCAGAAACCTTTGATTTACAGTGATTTTTTTTTTTTGTTGCTCGCTTCGGGTATTATTTCTTGTATTCTGTACATTCCCCTTGCTTGAAACATGGTATCTGTTAATTAACCATATATTTTACTCCTATTCCTGATACTTTATTTACCTTTCACGGGTTCCAAACAGGGCTTATATGGCCTTGGAATGTCAGTATTCTGTGGGTCAAGGGCTAAAGATTTTTTAATTTTGATTGAGGGCTAATTGTTAATTAAAGTCAAGCAAATATTTTTGTCTGCCAGATGTGCAGGAGTAAAAATATTTTCAAAGGTGAAATGTTACTTCAATACATATCAATATGACCAACCTCAACCTGAATGCTAGACCATAATTCATAATTTTGATAAGAGGTAAAGTACTCATTGTAATCATGCGAACAGTTTGCCTCATATTAGCTGCATTAACAGATACCATGCTTCAAGCAGGACAATGCATAAAAAACAAATAATACCTGAAGCGAGGCACAAAAAAGTGGCCATAAATTGAAGATTTTTACAATGCTTGGATCTGTAGCTTTCTGGGTTGGCTGTCCAAATTTTCTCAACCAGAGAGCTACAGTTCTGCAGCTAGCCTCATACCTGTCTATGGGTTAAGAAGATTTCTCAAAGTTAAATTTTTGGAGCAGGTACATTCCCAAGTATTTATAAATTCTACCGAAACCAAACTTGCATCGATATTGATCTAGGGATGCACACCAACTAGAAAATATTTGGAGATGTGCCTTCCCCATTGATATCTTTCGTCAAGGTGAGCTTCATAACTTTTGATTACCTATGTTTCCACCTTACAGGGAAGCTGAATTGTGCTGCCTTTACTGCTGGTATAATAGAAGCTGTACTCAATGGAGCAAACTTTGTAAGTATTTCTACATGTATTTGGCATTCTTGATGATTTTTATTCTATCTCGGTTCTTTCACTCAATATCACATAGATGAATAACATATTTTATTCTTTATTTTAGCCAGCCAAAGTTACAGCTCACTGGCATAAAGGGACAACATTTATGATAGAATTTGATGAAACTGTTATAGCAAGAGATAAAATGGTGTAGATATTGACTTCTTATCCCTCATAGCTTGAGATGAAATGTGTAGGATTTGTGATTTATTGGGCAGACAACCTGACGCGTTTGGGCTTCATTTTGGAGAAAATTCTGCTGTGAACAATCACCTGTCCATGGCATTGGATTTAGATGAATATAAGACTGAATATGTGTTTTTAAACTTTATTGTTCAAAAGTAACAAAGCTGGTATTTAATACAATAAATACAAGTTTATCTAACTCTGTAAAATATTTTAACAACCTCTCTCCTGAACAATTGTGCAGCCAAGTATGTCAAATGGAAGGTAAACAATGGTACCTCCCAAGAGGCAAAAAAAAAAGGGGGACACACGTGAGATACCTTAATAGACTCCAGAAAAAAACAAATCCAAACAATTCAGGCATTAACACATACAGTAAATATTTAACGTGTCCTTTTCAATTAAGTTCTCACAACTGAGATAAAAATACATATTTTCTCAGTTTAAAATAATAAAATGATTTGGATTCAAAGAACAAAGAAAATATGCATAAATTGACAATGAAGTGTACCGGTAATAACAATTCATTAAAAGTTTCTTTGTTGAATAAATATTTATTTCGCAAGAAAGATAACTTTCTTTTGCATACCCATCCCCCTCATGAAATAAATATGTTATTTAACAAAAAAATATGCTGTCACTTCTGTCTACACAACAGTATCAATTTACACATTTTTTAAAACATATTGCCAAAGGGATTTAATATATTGGTCATGATGGTTGTACAAATGTTTACTGATGAAGAACTCTTCAATTTCAGTTATGATCATGTGTACCTGGGGTAGCTATTTTTAACACATTCTCAGTCTATTAATGCTTTTGAATTGAATAAAACTGAATAGTAATATCATTATATATATATGTATATTGCAAAATACAGTATCACACTGAACACAATTTAAGATCTCTGATACTCCTGAGGGATCCCTTCCTTCTACACACCCTCATACTCTGTGCGAGGGGTCACAGCTACCTTATCGACGTCATGGAGAACACACTCTTTTTGTCTTTGCTGACAGCAGATTTCTGTGCTGCTTTTTTCTGTTCATCAAGTGTGAAACATTTCCAGATTCTGAGCGTCTCGTCAGCTCCAGCTGATACCACTGTCTGTCCATCAGGCGACATAGCCATGTGTAAAACGCGAGCAGTGTGACCTATAAACAATCAGTCATCATTGTATGGATTTAATTGTGTAATATTAAAATAATTTTTTTCTGACAGAGTGTGTAATGAAGATTAAGATTACACTAATTTTTCAGTCATAAATGATAAGGATGGAATTTTCTTGGGAAGATAAAAATGATTTACCTGATAACTCCGACACTTTGGTCATTGTAGGATATTTCCAGATGGTCAGCTGATTTAGAGCAAATCCATGACTAGATATTAACTCTTTGTAATTTTTTGACCATAGCAGAGCACACACCTGTGGAAAAAAATTCAAATATTCAGTAACAGTAAAATAAATATGGCAATTTCATCTTGAATGAACTAAAATATTATTTCACAAAACACTTCTTGAGAAAAACTCTAGAAAAAAATCCAGACTCTTGACAGCATCATAGACCAAGGGTTTGTGAGGAGAGTAGCGGATCAGAAACTTTTTGCTAGCGAAGATTGAGAAGACAAAAATGAGAAAAGTTTACAGATGACACATGCCAGAAGACAGACGGACGCCGGATACTCTTCGATCAGAAAAGCTCACTCGAGCCTTTGGCTCAGGTGAGCTAAAAATTAAAGGAAATTATGTGGTGAGTTGATTGAAATTAATCAAAAACTCAGGAGAAAATGAAACTGTTGAACTTCGATACCTTTAACATCAATATCTCGTATACAAAATTGATATGACGAAGTGAGTTGGAAGTCCCTTCCACTTTTTCTGCTTTTTAACTTCAATATCTGATTGTCGAGAATTTTCAGACATTTAGAAAAAACATGAGTATATGTCCATTTCTTGCTACAGGAAACCCCAAATATCTGTTGTCAAAACAGAGGTGTACAATGGCACTTGTAATAAAGATTCCATGAAAAGTCTCATGAAATTTCATTCAGTAGTATAGGAGAAATTACAGATAAGAGGCAGTTACCCCAATATAATAGAAAGAATGGCAGTGTCCATGTTTTACTATGGGAAAGCCTAAATACATGTATCTCTCCGATCAAAACATAAAATAGGAGGTGCACAATGGCAATATAAATAAAGATTTTGTGAAAGTCTTGTTCAGTGGTATAGGAGGAAGATGTGTACCCCCTAGTGTTATGGACATATGAATGGAAGGACAGCAATCCCAATCACTACCGCCATTTTTCAAGCCAGGGGTATAACGAGGCAGGTTTAAAAGACCACAAATGGTAATTTATTTGCTGCCATGGTACAAACTTTAAAAAATGAATACACTGTACTAATTCATTATTGTGTTCAATACTGATTTCAAGTTTTCATTGTATGGGTATTGACAAGTATCTCGGCCAACAGTTTTAGGGATCTCTGACCAGAGTGCAAACTTTTTGAAATTTTATCAATATAATATTATTAATATTTGAATATGCTGTAGCACAGTATGTCTGAAGTTTCTCCTATACAGCAGATAATGTTTTTGTGATGAGTAAGGATAGGGGCTTTTTTCCCCAAAGAAATCAGAAAATTTCTACATGGATTTTACTGCGGTTTTCAAATTTATAATTGTGCAATAGTATTTGCCGGAGCCACTTGACAGAGGATAAGTACCCTAAAAATGGCACATCAGTCTCCATTAATTTTGATGTTTAATTCTCTAGTATGGACATTCTGAAGTCTACAATCTGATTAAACATTACATGTATATTTATTATAACCTGCCACTTTGTGTCTACACATGTTCCTGTGCTACTGTTCTTTATATTTAATTTTAGTTCTAACACGTCATTTGATTGGGTAAAATAAAATTAGTTTATATTGTATAACCTGCTTTGCCTACATCATTACAACTTACATCAAAAACGTTTTAATCCGCTTGACGTTACATTTAAAATATGTACAATTTGAAGGCATTTTTGAAGGAGCAATTGTCTTATTTTGTACACTACTATATTTAATGATGGAAAATTAAAATATAAGGAATAAACTTGATATAGCACCCAAGTTATACTGGTATAACCTGGGTTGGAACAGTTTACGCTTTTTTTATATCCTCTTTCCGGGTTATAAAGCGTAAACTGCCCCAACCCATATAACTTGGGTAGCTATTAAATTCATTCCTTACTTTATGTCTACACATGTTCCTGTGCTACAGTTCCTTATATATAACATGTTGTGTAGACTAACGTGTGACTTTGTGTCTACACTGTCTACACATGTTCCTGTGCTACAGTTCCTTATATATAACATGTTGTGTAGACTAACCTGTGATTTTGTGTCTACACTGTCTACACATGTTCCTGTGCTACAGTTCCTTATATATAACATGTTGTGTAGACTAACCTGTGATTTTGTGTCTACACTGTCTACACATGTTCCTGTGCTACAGTTCCTTATATATAACATGTTGTGTAGACTAACCTGTGACTTTGTGTCTACACTGTCTACACATGTTCCTGTGCTACAGTTCCAGAATCGGATGTGACGGTCTGCAGTGCCACCCCCACTGGCCAATAAGTGAGGCTGCCAGGGACACCAGGCCAAGGCCTACAAAACAAATAAATATTTAGGAGGATTCATACTGAAGTCCTTTCAGCATTAAGTACATACAGAGTGTTTCAGTAAATCAATTCATAGAAAATTTGCAACCACCCTAGTGCTATGAATAAAAATCTATAAAAAATGAATTGAGAAACAGGAATCTAAAATCTTAAAAAAGTTTTGCTTAATTTCTTGTTACAGCAAAATCACACAAATTAAGTCACTGTAAGCTTACCTTGACTGCAGCTTGATGTTGTGAAAATGTAAACATTGGTGATGTGTCAGTGAGGGGACTACCCTGCTGGGCCCCCCAAATGTTTAAGAGATTGTCATTCCCTCCACTGGCAAGGAACTTCCCATCAGGGGACCACTTCAGGCCACACAGCTCCTGGGTGTGCCCCAGGAGTGTGCCGACATGATGATCTGCCACCCTCACATCATGATGGTGAATGGCTCCACTCCGTGAACCGCTACATTTGTTAATTGACAGAATATTTCAAATAAAATAACAGTTGTTTCATACTTTAAAATTTGATTTGTCAAATCATAAAAAATTTAATAACATTATTCAGTGCACCACAAGAAGGTGACATGCACTGAGTTTTAAATCACAGTGTCCATTTTCATACATGCATATACCATAAGTCAATTTGTATGCACAACTCAAATGATTTATACCCTACCTGCTCAGAATATAGGAATTCCATGACAGAGCCCCAACTCTGTTGGCATGGCCTGCCATGTTGCGTAGCCTTTTCTTTGCCGCGACATCCCATAACTGCAGATAAAAATTGCACAATTGTTATTTTTTTTAAACATGAGCACTTTTCACTTAATGTAGGAAGAACAAGGTACAGTTTCAATACAAATCTTGCCCAGTATTTTTCAAAAATATGAAAGTGATGTAAAAAATTAAAACTCATGCTTTCTGAGTTGTTGAAATTCCATGCAGTAAAAATATAAAAATTGTTTTTCTCATATGACTTCTTAAAGGCTAATTGTGACGTCATACACTTGTGCATTTTCCCGTATTTTCTTTAAAAGTTGCAGAAGACATCAATTTTCAGTGAATTTTTCTCTCAGATAATATAGAGCGCATGCATCACCCACAAAGATTTTCAGAAATATGATTTTTCAAAGGATTTTACACAACATATCCAAAAACTGCAGTGGGCGACGGCTGTGGACCCTATTTTCTTAAGGAAAATTAACCCAGGAAATGAGTCATTTTGAGGCTTTTTCTGTAAAAAACTTAGAAATGTACCAAATTAATGACGTCATATTTCCAGAATGGTCCTCCTTCATGCTGTATTCTTTCATGATTTATCACATTCATATACTCACCTCATATTTAAGCCAATTCCATAAGTTTTTGAAAACATTAAATTTTTAGGGCACAATAAAGCCAAAACTGTACCTTCTTCTTTCTTAAAGAAAGAAATTCCTACCTTAAGTGAAAAGAATATACGTGATAACATGAACAAACATAAATACAACCTATTCTACATAATTATATCACATTCATGTACAGGTGACTCTCGATCTCTCGAAGTTCAAGGGACCGCAAGAAAAGTTCGAGAGATCGAGGGGTTCGAGAGATAGAAAGTGAATAAAATCCGGAATTTTCAGTTCCGATCATCATTGTTCTACTATTATAAATACCGGAAGTGTACGTTGATAATATCATTGCACGTTTTCATTCGTATTTTACAGGTAATTCACTTGATTTCAACAACAATGATCATATTTTGAATAAATAAAACGATCTCTTTAAGTTTCAATATTTATTTGTTCCCATTTCATGATTACATAAAACCTGAATAGCAATCGTCGGTGTGGCTACCCCCCGGGCTTGATCGGGTCTTTTACCAGATTTCTCATATTAAATCGGTATTTAATTCTTGAGATAGGATTTCTTGTGCAATGTTTGTCATACTGGGATTATGTACACTTATAAAACTTCATAATCTAAGGAAAATTATTGACACGCCTCTTAAATTATTTTCTAAAAATTTTCGTCTCGCTGTCAAGTCAAAATAAGTTGGGAAGCAATTCGTTTATAATTTACAAATTATAACCAATTAATTATTTATATAAACACTCGGATGCTCACAGGTATAGTGTCATCTATGTAAACACCCAATTAACACCTCCATGCCAGCCCCAGGCGTTCACTGTTATCCAGGTAAGTCCAAGCTGCATTAATTTTACGCTTGATTGGCGTGTACACACGCGCAATCAAAACTTCGAGAGATAGAGAGTAAAAAACAATGAAATGTGTGTAACGGGACCCAGGTCTTGGTTCGAGAGATGGAGAACTTTGAGAGATGGGAAGTTCGAGAGATCGGAAGTAAATTTGCTTAGTTATATAGAGGGAAAAAACGGGACCGGAGGTTCACTTCGAGAGATCGAGAACTTCGCGAGATCGGAGTTCGAGCCATCGAGAGTCACCTGTATATATATTTACATTTCCAAGTATTTTTCTTTAAGATTCTTTGCAAATTAGAAGATTGTTCATTTTCTCATGAACTACCATGAGATGAGCATGAATATCTCCATTGTTACATCATAATACCGTACTTGACGTCAAAACTATAGTGCAAACTGTTTTGCTTGGAAAATGACAGTTGAATGGTGTAATTTGTGGCAACTCAGCAGAAAAATAATGTAAATATAAGAAATGAATTTAATTTTTGAAAATTCATGAGGTACATGAACTACAACGCTTCACGCCGGCATATTTATCATGAAGCGCTAAAGCGCTTCATGAAATATGTTGGTGTGAAGCGTTGTAGTTCATGTCCTCATGAATCTTCAAAAATTAAATTCATTTCTTAAATAAACAGTTAACTAAGTATGATTTTAGAATTATAGAATACCCCTTGCAGCTAAGTAATGACAAAAGAGCACTTTGCTTTTCCCTTCAGACATAACCTGTCTTCATGATTCCTTATTAAACATTCACTCACTTGCACTTCCCCATTGCTGGTTCCTACAGCCAGATAGTTGCCCTCCTTGATCCAGGACACTGCACCAACATACTGGTCTGAGCTCTCCATCTGTAACAGCTGGTCAATCTCTCCTGTGGCTGCATTCCAGAGGTACACACTCCCACCCAGACACACAGCCAGGAGATTGTTACATGACCAGTCAAGCAGGTTCAGGTCTGCAAACAAGTGTGGAACTTCAAAGTTTTAAAGGGATACACAAAATTTCTCATACTTGAACTTTTTTCTTGAATACTGAAGACATTTTTTTTTATCATATACTTGGTAGTAAATACGCCACAATCATTGTGTTTTACCAGATAAGGCCATTTATCAAGAATACTTGTATTCAAAGGGGAAATATTGTTCTGGGTACCTTAGTGACCATGTTAATTCAATAAAGGTCAATAAATGTTTCATAATATATAATAGATCACATGGTCACTCTGGCAAGTATTTAGGAATATGGAAATATTATGTTTTTTTGTAGTGTTATTTTATTATATCATCTCATATCAAAGATCAATCAAAAATGTAAGATAACACAGGAACAGTTGTCAGCAACTGATCTATAACAAGCATGAGTCAATATCATACTTTTCAATGTTCAAGTGTAAAAAAGAAATTTAAAGAGTTGTCAAAATCTCTCATTTACATAACAAATTTATAACAATACTGATTTCACAACTATTGCACAAATATACAAGTACAGCACTTGCTTGTCCTTTTTATCACTTACAAAAATTTGATACATTAACAACATAGTACACATATACTGATATTTGTAGAATATATACAGTAATGACTACAAAACTTTATACTTACAATAATCATCAAGGATGTCTGGAGCATCAAGGATGCGCTCTGGCACTTGAGGAATATGACGCATGGTTTTCTTCATCGAACCAGCAGGTGTTTTGCATGAACTATACAAGACCCGAAGGTTGTTGTGATATCCTGGAACACATTTTGTTTATGATTAAACTTAAGTGTTTTTACTGAATTCATTTTTCTTAAAAATTTACTTAGAAGTACATCATTATCATTAAAATATTCTAGCTAAGTGGGGAAAAAAATGTATTTATGAAAGTACTTTTCTTTTCTTAATAAAAATAAAGCATTTAAAGTTTGATTTAAGTTTTCCTCCCTCTAAATATTTTTAAGGATGACAAACTACCTTCTGGTGCACCTGGAGCTTTAGTCTTGTACGATATGATTTTGTTATTTGAGATGTCTGCTCCATTTAGGTTTTCACTCATTATTTTCTGATACTCCTTCTGTGAAGGACTCAACAGATTGTCTGCTTCACTTGTACTAGCACTGTCTGAAGTTAATTTAAAGTGTCCCAATTCAAACTGGGTAGCACTGCGATTTGGTATAAATCTGTCTCCACCACTGGGTGTTTTGGGAGCTTTGGATCCTCCTGGTGTCCTTGTTTTACCTTTGAATAGAATTAAAATTATATATATTACATATAAAGGTTCTTCAATAAAGTCATCTATCCATCATAGATTTATTTTAACAGGTGATATGGCGAGTGTCAATGTGACAATTTTAAAAACACAGTATACAGTATGTTTATCAAAAATTATGTTCTTAACTGCTATATTCAATTATTAAGAAATGAAAATAAAATTACTTGTAGATTTTGGTGTCTTTGCATTAGATGGTGTCTTTGGATTGTTGGTGGATCGGTTGAGATTCTTCATGGGAGTTTTTGCTGTTGTGCTGATGTTGAGGGAACTGTTGACAGACTGATTACAATCTGTCTTCCTCTCAAATCTCATACTTGGTCCTTTTGTTATGGGCCCATCCATCCTTAAGACACTGTTCAGTTCATTCTCAAAGTTAAAATGGGACATGTTGCTTCACAGTGTAGATACTGCTTTTTCCTCTTTACCCTTTGTTGAACTTTGGGTTTGGCTTAGTAATCATGTCCACATAATGTTTATCCTATAAAACAGGAACTGATCTATATTTTGAGGTACTTAAAAATATATTTAATTGCTTAATTATACTTTTTTTTATAGCTGCAGAACTTTTGCGCCCTGAAAAAGAAATATTGTCAGACCAGAGAACTACAGTGCCACCCATAGAAAAAAACTGTATATTATTGCACACAAAAAGTTGTGCTCCATTTTGGATTTATTTCTCCAAATTCTCACCTCAACTGTACAAAAGCTTGATTTAAAAAAAAATCCTTTAAACCTCTATTGACTTCTCCTGTAGTTAACATCTGCAAGAACGCATTGGGCGGAATTGTCTTGCCACCCTCCAAAATGGCAGTATAATTACTATAAATAGGCAAAATTTTGGATAGTCTCAATTTCACAGTTGAAGGCCCAGGATGGCTATTAACAACAGTTACTGGAAAAGTTTTGATGTGGACATAGTTTAAGAATAAGTTAGGAACACAGGGTTAGTCATACTTTGAGATTATGGTCTAAATATGAAAAAATAAATGAGACACGGAACACTTTTTTCGTGCACAATAAATATACACTTTTTTCAATGGGTGACATGTAGCTCTCTGGGCCATCCAGCGATCTACAGATCTACTTTGAAGGAAGTTTATAAATCATATATTGTTCAAAGCAGCAATTTCATAGTGTAGCAAGCCAGTAACGCCACAACTTGCAGCAATTCAATTTTGGAATAATCTTAAAAGTAACTAAATAGAGGTCATAAACAGCTGATAAAACATCCTTTTTCTTACATTTAACGGTAGGATACCAGTTTCCTGAGATTTATCATCCAATTTAGTCAGATCATTACTCTAACAACCTAATGCAGCTGATACGCTGTCAACAAAAAGGCTTTCACTACATAACTTCTGATACGCTGTCAACAAAAAGGCTTTCACTACATAACTTTTGCATAAAAAATCACTTAAACAAGACAACTATTACTAAAGGAAAAGTTTGAAACTTACTTAAAAAATTCTTCATATAAAGTACCTGCCTGATATAATACACATTTGTCAGGGGAAAAAATGTCAAAATATCAGGCCTACACAGTCTCGTAAAATCTCACTTCCGGTAAACTACTTCCGGAGACAACTTGGAGATCGATATATAGTGCAATTATAGTAGATTGGCGGCGTATACGGTTATGACAATTTGTTTTGTATTCGATTGTAACCACCAAGGGTTGAGAAAAACATGTAAGATGTTTCGCTTCCCAACCAGCCTCGCATTGGCGAAGAAATGGGAAAAACTTTGCAGGTACGTATCATCACTTATCATATCTTTGACCTTTGTCATCTGTTTGTACGTAGAATGCTGTATACATTTCAGAGCATGTATCAATATATGACTTTTTAAAACGTTTATTAATAAAACAGACGTAAGGATAGAAGCATGATCCCTCAGAATGACAGGATCTGCAGCTGTCACTTTGTAGATGGTGAGAAGCGTAATGGCCCCACCCTCTTCCCATGGAGTTGTGGAAAAATGTTCAATTTCCCTGATCCGAGCAAAATAAACAGGTACTGTATAACAGGGCTACTTTTATATAGTGTAGTAAAACATGATTTTGTTTATATGTTTTTCTGATGGAATAAACAATCATATATTAACTGATTAAAGCTAAGTTTTCAGTGCATAAAATGTTACATTTTATTTTTGTTCAGCTTGTCGAGAACCGGAAAAAAAGAGATAAAAGAAAAAGCAGTCTCTGAAGACCAGTGTGAATCTACTGCAATGTCATGTCAACCATTACACGTTTCTCTAGATCACACCTATCAGGCTTCATATCATCAGTTAAAAGAAGAGAATCAGGTAAATATGACAGCTGTACACAAAAATAAGTGACATAGTGCATGTACTTCAATAGTAGCAATAGCATTCACCTTATTAAGAAAAAAATGTCTGATAGGATATATTAAAACTTGGTGTCTTTGGTATTTTACCTGGTACATGTTTTAATTCTTATTTGTAAGTCGGTATATGTACATTTTACATGTATTCACCAGAACCTGAGGCGTGAGGTTGAAGAACTAAGAATACAGGTCAGGATGATGTCAACAAAGCGAGCATTCAGGATTGGTGATATCATAAGTGAAGAAAGGAAGGTACGTTTCGGAAGATAAATAGTATAAATATATCAGGTATTATATAACATGTATATTATAGTATAAATAGTATATATAAGATAAATAAGTTTAATTTTGTTATCATTCAATATAGACATTAAATTAAATTTCAGCTATAAAAACCTTGTTAAAACGTTTAAATTTATAGTTGAAAATCTCCTTTCATAAAAATAAGCTGTGATCACACATGTCTTTGAACACGATACTTTGCGGTTAAGTATTTTCATTTCAGTTTACATGTTTATTGTGATAATGGGCCAACTGCTGGACAGTTCATCAGCCTGTGATAAATGACTGGATAAGTGCTAGAACATCCAATGCCAGGAAAGAAAATAAATCTGCTTATATCTTGTAAAACTGTTTATATGAAATACTGCTGGACAGTATTTTCATTTTCATGGGCAAATAAATTTGAATAATAAAAGAAAAGAAACATTCTTGACACTGTGTTTTTAATGTCATGTTTTGATATAGATGCTGATGTACACAAGTCTACGTCCTGACATGTTTCTTGCCATTGATGAAATGATGCAGAGGTTCCAGATAAAGTATATTGATGGATGGACACCATCTTTCATTTCCTTGACTGACCAATTGTTGATGACTTTAATGAAACTGACAATGAACACCCCATTTTTGGACCTAGCTGAGAGGTTCAACACTAGTGCGTCATCTGTAAATAACATTGTAACTTCTCAGATTTGTGCATTGCATGAAGTTTTATATGAAGGACTCGTAGAGAGTCGCATTCCTTCTCTCCAAAAGTGCAAGGGGTCTATGCCTATAAGTTTTGGGGATTTCAGTTCATGTAGAATAGTACTTGATGCGACGGAAATCACCCAGGATGTTCCAGGGAATGACATGAGATTGCAGGCCAGCACATATAGTGGATACAAAAATTCACACACTGTTAAAAGTGTTACAGGTGTTGCACCAAATGGTGCTTTGGTATTTATTAGTAAATTGTACCCTGGCAGCACATCTGATGTTGCAATTGTAGAACATTGTAAGGTCTTAGAACAGTTAGCACCAGGTGATATGATCTTAGCAGACAAAGGGTTCACTATTCACAAGTTGTTGCCCCAAGGAGTACATTTAAATATTCCTCCCTTTCTCACATCTAAATCCCAGTACACCCCCAGTGAGGTCCAGCTATGTAGAAAAATAGCCAAGTCTCGCATACATGTTGAAAGAGCAAATGAGCGCATTAAAAATTATGAAATTTTAAGGCATGTCCCTCAGCAATTTAGATACATTTCTACAAAAGTCTTTCAATTATGCTGTGTTTTAGTCAATTTTCAGGATCCTCTCATGCAAGAAATTGCTCAGAATTTTGCAAGTGTAGACAACTAAGATGTTAAAATTAGAATATGTTTTCACCATGTTTAATGTTATATTTTATAGCTGTTGTACATAAGGAAGAAATTTACAGAAATAAAAGTCTGTCAAAACAGATATGTTAATTCCCCAATTGACGTCTTTGTTAATTCTAACAATAGCACAGTCTTTTGGTGTCCAGACCATGAAATCACACAAGGACTTTCCAGTTATGTAAAGTTGTCCTTGAACTTGATCATAGTATTGGTGGTTTTCTCGTAATCTGTATGATTTCACTCCATGAAAATCCTGAACCTCTGTATGAAAAAATAAATAAAAATATATTTGTCTCATTTTTATAGAATAAGAATTTTCATTGGTGCTTCAAACATTAAAACACAATATTATGTATTTAGTATAAATTTATAAGTAATTTGTTCCTTACAATAAAGTGAGAACGCTAATTATATGCCTTGAGTACTAGCATTATAATTACAACAGGAGGAGAAAACTTTTAACAATTGTTACATGGGTACCTAACTTTATCATATAAAACATATATATTGGAGTTATTGAAAATAATTAACATTTTCAAAAAAATACTTAATATACACTATTATTACCTAGGCAGAAATCATTTACTTTTTCAATAGCTTCTGGAATGGTCATATTCTTCGCTGAAAAGGGGCATTTCACCTCCAGAATTTCTGGCTTAACGTTTAACATCTCTAACATGTCAGCTAGTCCTGGATTCTGATAGTTGAATTCGAATGCAGCTGGGCGACGAATGAGTCCATCTGGGCTTGACCCAAGAACCCCATTACAGTGTAGCCAGATACCTTATAAATAGCATTATAAAGTTACAGGATAACATTATAAAGCAACACTCCGAATATTGTTATGCACTTATGTACAAGAAGACTTGTTATAAACATAACATCAAAACAGTATATTCATACTCATTATCTTCAACTTCAGTTTAATAACTGAATTTTAAATTATCTCAAGTACAATTTTTTTTATTATTATTTATTTGCCTTAAAGAAATTAACATTTTGCTTGATTTATGAAAGAAAAATACCAACCTGTTGGCTCTACAACTGCATCCCCAAAAGTTTTGTACTTTTCAATGGCGACTTTTTCATTGCACATCCCCCAAATAATAGCATCCTTTTTTGACAGATCATAAGCTGAACATAGTCTTTTGTATAAGGAGATAGGATATCTATTAAATAAGGAGCAAGAACATCTGTTAAATAAGGATCAAATTTTCAATATTTTTGATTTAATTAACTGCTTTTACATGTATTATTTAATTAAATGTACATATAAAGGCATATAACTACAGGTATACCTATTTCTCTTGATCGCTGCCAAAACACAACCAAAGTTTGATGCTGTTAATCTATTCTTCCTAACAGATGACCACATGCAATTTTCTTTTTGACCAGTGGTAAGAGAGGCAATCTACAAAAGTCCTTAAACTTAAACAACATTCAAATTAAAACTGAATACTTTCAACTCACTACACAACTTTTTTGTCTTTACCTGTTGGATTTGTTGCTCATTAATCATTAATTTTTGCTTCATCCAAGCAATCGGATTTTCCGCAGAAATAAATTCCTGGCTAGATATGAGGTCTTCAACTAGAGGCACTGCAAGTGTGGGTACAGGCGGCTCAGGGGATAGTATCCAATGCATTGCTGTTGATTAAATTAAAAAAAAATTTAAACCCTCATAGAAAAATAAGGCAAATACTCAATAACCCTGTATTAAACTGCAGTTACATTACCAATTATTAATACCAGTATATATGTTTAATATTTTTTCAAACTTATTTTATTCACTACTTCAAATAAGTGTGGGATTTCAATGTATACAATGACATGTGAAAAGAATGTACAAATAACTCCTTCAGAGTAAAAGAAATAGGTTTAAACATAATAAAAGTGTATTATTAAAAGTTTAATACAAAAACAAGAACAAAAAAAAGACAAGAACAAAGCTAAACATGTGACAATAAAAAAAAGGATCAGATTAACCTGAAAATCTCCCCACAGTAGTCAATTTCTGATATAGGAACTCCCTGTCCCTATCATTGACTGGCCTATTTGTTGCCCTAATAATTTTTGACAAAGGTTAAAAAAATAGAGCAAAATAAAATGCTAAATGGTTTAACACAAAGGCCTACCATGCAAAATAATTAAATCTGATACTTAAGGTACACTACATATTATCATTCACTACATACTGTAAATTGAAATACAAGTTAAATGCAAACATACATACACACACACATATCTCTCTCTCTCTCTCTCTCTCTATATATATATATATATATATATATATAATCATATATATTTTGCACATTAGTAAATGTAGTAATCATGAGCTAGCTAACCTGTAATTTACAAATCTGTCTGCTGCAGGGAAAAGGTCCTCCATTGTCTTGGTTTGTCGAGGTGGGACCGACTTCGGATTTTTCACCCACGACTGCCGAACATCTGTCTTGGAGACATTCTTATACCTGTTGAGAATTAAATACCTGACATACATACTTATTTTATTGAAATGTGTTTAGAACTTGTCCACCAGGGATTGAAAAGAAGTTACATATATTAACATGCATAGCATATTTTATTATGCTTGTAGGTCCATCGAATGCTTTAAAATAAATTCAATAGATTTATAAGTTGTTTATTGACTAAATAAATTTAGATTAGATTACCCATAGAGAAGGAGGCTAGCCTTATGGTGACATTTATCCTGCCCATTAACACACTCACAGGTGCTGTTCTCCACATTATAATTCGTTCCAAGACTAATCTATATATTATATATCCATTAATAATATATTGATATATTTAGCTCATATATAAGTAGAATCAAACAAAACGTTTTCTTATCATTTTATTTTGTGTATTCAGTCTCAAAATGAAGGGAAATCCGCCTACCGTTACATTATAACTCCTGTCTCGCATTGAAGCTTGGACCACACCGCGGACGTATGAAGCTTCCTGGTCATAAATAAACCTCAGTACATGGTCAGAATGTACAGCTATTTCAGATTTTCTGCTCAATTTTTTGGTTCCAGCTGTATAATTTGCCCAATATAAGATAGAAAACGCCATCGCACTATTTACTGCACACCGGCCGACATGTTTGTTTATCTCCAAAACTGAAATCTCGCGAAGTCTCGCGTAACACTGTGTAGGCCTATTGCTTGATAATTCAAGTTTGCCGCTGGGTGATTGGCTAATCATAAAACGTTACAAACTTTTGATTGGTTAATTGTTCCCATAACAAACATATCATGTCATATTAATTTTGATTGGTTAGTTTAAACCCGGAACTCTCTAGTTAGGTCGGTCATATTTTAGTCCTACATCAATTGGACGTGTATACTTAAATGGGAAATAGTTAAAATCCTAGCCTAGGGACCAGTCAAAATTTATCGAAATTGACGATTTTTTAAATCAGTTTACCAGTTTGCACCGATCCCATGCTTCGATAAATTTTTACCCGGCGGTCCCTTAGGTTTTATTTTCACCTACATTGAGAAATATTGCATTTCACAGAATGAATATTTTGATATTTTATTTGATAATTTACTTCAGAAAAAAATTATATGCAGCATTTTTTTCTCAAGTTCATTGACTGGTCAGGATGAAAATGGCGTATTCGTGCGTGAATCAGTGGCGGATCCAGAATTTTCAGAACGAGGAGGGATGTTCAATAAATAAATAAAAACACTATGGGGAGGGGGTGACTTCTCATAAACAGGTTGCTTTTCTTCATATTTAATTACAAAAAACTCTTCTTTCTAACTAGGGAATCCATGTTTCGGGGGGGGGGGGGTGTATATTTGAATATTTTGCTAAGAGATGAATTTCAATACTTCATAAAACATCATATTTCACAAAAGAACTTCATTTCCCGTGTTCAATTTATGTCAATTTTCACTTTAAAACGCATAATGGATAATCAGAAAAAAGAAAAAAATATAGTCAGAGGCATCTTATTGAATATTTCTTTATTTCATTTCACGTGATAAACTTTAAGAAACTTACACATTTTAGAAGTGTGAAATTCTTATTTCTTGTTTTATCGAAATAATCGTTACTTTGAAATAATTATTTGGGAACATACTCTACTGAGTTTGGTTCAACAATTAACCCGCCACTTTGTGTTCACGAAATTGCGAAAGGGGGGGGGGTATATACCGAAGAACTGTATACAGTGTATATACTGAAGAAGTATATTTCATATATTCTGGTCAAAGGAGATGGGTGAACATGACGAGCGATAAGCCTAAAGTGTGACAAACATGAAGATGAAAAATTAAATTTCAATTATATCAAAATTTTCCTTGATATTTCGTCTAACATTAAAATATACTTTATGTAAAATCTCTACAATTTGCAAATATCCCTCAAAGATTGAAATTATTTGCCTGTGAAATATTAGACACACACTAAAGCGGGCAAAAAGAGTCATTTTCTCATACTATAACACTATTTTCCGATATGAGTGGGTCTTCGCTCCACCTTTTTGAAAGATAATCCTCAAAGTTTACATAAAAATATACATTTTTTGGTTATCAAAAATATGGAGCAATGACCCACTATACCTTAAAAATATACTTTTATGACATAACATTCGCATCTTTTCGAGAAATACTTGAAGTCCATTAAGTCAAGGGTCATATCACAAACATGATTTAAATACCACTGTTCGTCAGGGCCTGTGTAGTCTAGTGGTTAGCGTGCTAGTCTCGAACAATAAAAGATAAAAAAAAAAAAAAAAAGCGTGCTAGTCTCGAAAGAAAATGATACTCAGGATTTTTATTGCTAGGGTTCGAACCCCACGAATACCACATTAATTTTTTTAATAAAAGAATAAATTTTGCCGAGAAAATTTTCCTCAGAAAAGTTTTGTTTATCACAATTTCATAAATTTCAATAATGAGAACTTTACTCTAAATATTAAATTCACAAACTGAACATGATTTTTATATTTCTGAAGCTATAGGCTTTCTGCACGCTATGTTCGCCCATCTCCTTTATTATTTTTATACTACACCTTTTATGTATCATAGACATATATTTCCAGAGCTTGGAGCAATGTGTAATTCAGTCCACTCCTATATTCAGCATTCATCCCACATTTACGCCAGATTTTCCCAAATATTCTTACATAACATATCAAGTCATTTATGTGTGAAGGTGTGTTACTGTAGAAAACTAAATTGAGAGTATATATAAATTAAACAAACAAAAAGAGATGGGTTTTAGTATGTAAAATTTTAGTGATTACATTCGATTATTAAAGATTTTATATCAGTTGTGACATTATTTTTGGATTAACCTTCGTATGAACCTCATATGAACTACTTACAAAGTATAACGAAATGATACTTGCCGTCGCTTCGCCCAGTATAAAAAGGCACTACTCTTTTTGAGCCTATAAGGAACACTGAATCAGAGTTCACATGGTGTATCTCGGATAATCCTCCGGGATATTTCAAAAACATATATGATATGTACAGTCTTCAGATGCACAGCTTTGGTATAAAACCAACTATTCGTATCCCAAATAATGAATGAATGTGAATTTTTTTTTTTACATTAATGGCAAACTAACAACTAAACTTTATTATATGCGTGATGAATTTAACTTTTCTATCGTCAACTTTCCTTATTAGTCCCCTACCGGTGAAACCTGAGGGGACTATAGGTTTCCTCTGAGTCTCTCCGTCTGTCTGTCTGTCTGTCCCTCTGTCTGTCTGTCAGTCTGTCCCACTTGGTTTTCCGCACTTTTTTCCTGAACACTTGCAGATATTGAGCTGATTTTTGGTATGCGAGTGTATCTTGATGAGTTACAGATCAAGTTTGCATTTCGTTCCGCTTCATTGATTTTTGACGGAATTACGGCCTTTTCAATTTTTACGGGTTTTCCGCAATTTTCTTCTAAACACTTGCAGATATTGAGCTGATTTTTGGTATGTGACTTTACCTTGATTAGTTATAGATCAAGTTTGCATTTCGTCCCGCTTCATTGATTTTTGACGGAATTATAGCATTTTCAATTTTTAACGGGAACCAGATTACACTTGCCGGTAGGGGACTAGTATTGCTAATGCAATACTCTCAGAATGCTTGTTTATGTACCGGTAGCAATACACCATTATCACCTGCATATGGAATTTATGTCTCCAACAACAGGAAGTTTAACAGTTTAGCAGATTTTAAAACTTTGAAAGCAGACTTTATCAGTATGTTCTGACGTTGAATGTTAAAAAACAAACAAACAAAACAAAACAAAAACGGCATGGTGTTGTTCAAAGGAAATATACCCATTATCTACGAGGCGGTTAAACAAAATCCAAAAATCCGAAGTTGGAGTTACATCAACGACGCCTTAAAATGAGATTTAGAGACACCGCAATATTGTTTGGCAATACATGAAATGTATCAATTCAAAAGAACTATAGAAAATAAAGACACACAAAACAATAAGCATAGAATTTGAAAAAAAAGTCCAACAAGGTTACATGGATTACATTACCAACAGGAAATAAATACTCTGAAAATCTTAAATAAAAATTAATTTCCTTAGGGTTTCATGTACTCCTTCTTTTATGGAATTCTGAAACGGAACCAGGTAATATCAATGAAACTTTTCAACCCTCCCCCACATTTTTTTATGGGGGAGGGGGATGTCTCCGAAATCGATCCCAGTGCTATGTCATGATAAGGATACAATATGGTACATGCAACAATTTTGTACAAATTAATTACCAAGTTATGACATTAATAACACCCCAAATGAAGCAAGATAATAAAATTTATTTTAAGGCCATCCACTAAATCAAAATAGAGCATGACATATATAGACAAACAGGTGGTGAAAAATCACAGGAAGACTCACATGAACCACTGGTTCAAATGTCATTTTACGTTAAATAATCAGGTTTCAACCGAAAACTCGTCAAGACAGCAGACAAATGTGTGCAACTGTGTTTTTGTCAATTTCAAATAATAGTTACTCTAAAATCAAATGATTGCCCTAAACTTAAGTATTAATATCATGATATTTCATTGATTTCCATACAAATAGTCAGATAATAATAGATCTTTACACACAATGCCATGGTATCTTAACAAGTAGTTCTATCGGTAAGTTCAATATCACATTCCCCTTTAAGAAAATAAGCAAATAAAAAAATTACCAGCAACAAAATTATTTTAATAAAAAATATTTTATTTCGTCATTCAGCTATTTCAGACTATGTACAACAATGCAGAATCAAGTTGTACATAATATATTTGCTTCGAGCTCCAGCACGATGCAGATACACATTTCCATATAATTTATAAAACAAATAACATGTGAAAAAATTTCTTCCAGGACAGGGAGAAATTTATCGTATCCTGATAATAATGCTCCAACATCCCTTCAAGCAAGCGTCGGTGAACAGAATTTACTTTCTCTACAATATTCTATCCACGTTTGCATCATAGACTCAGGGGACGATATTTGATGATATGCTAATGTATTTCGAAAATTCATCGTCACAGCATTGTTTGATACTGGTCCAGGTTTCTTCATCAGGAAACCGGGCTGATTTTTGCGCACAATTTTCAGTTTTTCTGCTACAATACCAAGATAAGTGTCATCGATTGAAATAGTTTGGATATAAGGTATAGCTAGAGCAAATTTCTTAACAACAAGCGCTGACATGAGATAGGCGTATCCTGCAAGATATTTAGGGTACTTGTCAAATGGATAGTCTTCCCACGACACAAACCATTTTGACGTATTATCCCGGTACGGTACAGAATGAGACAGAAGTTTACCTAACATCATTTCAGGACCTTGGTTCCTTGATTTCCTGAATTTTTTGAAATTATTTACGATAAGAAAAACGTCATCATCTACGTAAAAGCTTAGCTGGGCATTACGACAGTGATGGGAAACCCAATTTAAACCCATAATGGTTTTTAATGTGTTGTTCGAGTAATTGTCCAAAAAATCTTCCTGTACAATGTCTCTATATTTCAAAGCCTCAGTATCAACTCGTCTTTGCACACTTCTGTTAAAACCAAGAAGAAAGACAATTTTAACAGCTTCGTAATTGCTAATATTGCCCCAAGTCTTCCTAATGACATGTCGGTTTAAGAAATTTTCCACTCTAGATTTTACAACTAAAATGAGAAATATGTTAGATTCTTTACATATATTTTGTCCTTGGTGAATATAGTTAAAATTATGTAGATTGATGGGTTCATTGACTATTTTCTTGCCCTCGAGTTGTGTTTTTACTAATTGTACAATATCCAGCTCTAGAGGATAAAGAAGAGGCATAAATGCCAGTTTCTTCTTTCGAATATTAGAAATGTTTAACGGTGGCGCACACTGGAATAAAACTCTATTCACAGTATAACCATTATAGTCCTGGACATTTTGTAAATGACTAGTATTGAGAGAAAGGGGGCATCCCTTCCGTGGAAAGTTGTTGGAATATGAGTATTTGTGGAGGTTTTCTGTCTCGATGCTGGAAATATGAGCAAATACTGTAATAACAGGCGTCCTTTGTTGACGAAAAAAAATCCAGAGGAACAGTGGAATTGTAAGAAGGAGACACGGACTGTGACAATTCCTGCAATTCCTGCATCTTCGCCATGTCAGAAATCGGACACATGATCGCATGCTCAACAAAAGAGCAATCTGTGAAAACAGAAAAATCTAGTCATTTCATGCGAGACCAAAGAAAGTTTTCAGCATATCAGCCAATGTTCATCCCAATGATCACATATTTTCAAAGTTTATTGGAAAATTTGTTCTCTAGTAAACTATCAAACTATATGAGTTCAAGATGTTGTTCAATTTCAAAAATTAGAGACTGGTCTAACTTGCATTATGAAGATAGTAAAACTACTATAACTTTTTTAACTGCTTACCTCTTAAGAATGTGAAGAAAATATCGAGCGGCGGTTATGTTTCTTGCTTCCGATGCCATACTTCCATCCTTTATTCCCTATGTGCAGAAGAGTTTTGATAAGAATTTGAAAAATGTTCTTATGACGAGAATGTCCATAAATCACCTTAGATATCCACTCATGTTAGCACTTTTACGATGGAGAAGAAATTTACTAATGGCAAGAGAAAGTATTGTCTCCGAGATCTAGAGTATAGAAGGTTCAATACTTTTTTGTCAGTTAGGTTTGTTTAAGTTCAAAAATCGATTTCACATTGTTAGGCATGTAAGAAGTGTTTCAAAGACACATTTGAGAAATAAAACACCATTTGAATTTCGATTTTCTGTCATTGTTTGGTAGCAACAAGGGGTGTATATATATATATATATATATATATATATATATATATATATATATATATATATATATATATATATATATATATAAGCATGCAAAATGGGTTTAAATTAAAACGTTACCATTTAACGTTGTTATATTGTTAATCATTAATGACATTATAATTTTAAACGCACTATCTGTGGAAGAAAATAAATCCACTAAACTGCAGCAAAATACTACAGTTTATGTGGTCGATTTGTGTGTAATTTTAAGGTAATTTTAAAGCAATCTCCGTTTTTTTTCCTTGTAAATTGATGGTATGTCTCTGAATAATACGGAGTAAAAGGTTCATTTACAGCGCTTTGCATATTAGAAACTATATAAGAGCATTATCTATATAGCTAATGAATAATTTTAAAAATGTTAAGAAGAAAAATGGTCGGTGCTTTTCTTTAAGAGCAAAATTTCCTTTATCACTACAAATGAAGTAAAATTCACCATTTCTTCTGAAATGTTGCACCATATTTAACAATAACCGAGACGTTACATTTCAGATTTTATTGAATCATGAGACTATTGTTTCATGTAGGTAAATACTTTTCTATATATAGACATGGAGAATTTACTGACCACAGTGGCACCAGTGTAACATACAAATAAGACTACTCATTATTTGTGAATCACGAATTTCTCATATAAATACATATCTGATCTGTCGACCGTCACAGTGGGGACTAGAACAGCAAATTCTGTTCATACAAAAATGTTCATTTTATGCACTACTGTGAAAGTTTAAAAGAATTTAAAAAAATATGTTATTTGTACGTACCTTGAAGGTTTCCTCGTGTCTAGCAGCTACTGAAAACAATCCAGCGTCGATCAAGAGGTTGTCTTGGTAGACTTTAAAGACAACTTTCATCTAGCCATTGCGGAAAGCAGCAGTTCCCACTATCGATCCATGCAGCAGCTATATGTCATTTCGAATGTTGAAAAGCTGTTTGAACATGAAGCAGGAAGCTACTTTCAGGATCAAATACACTATGCTATGATCATTTTATGTCAATTAAGCACAAAAATTTTTTGGGCAAAAAAAGTTTCCTGTTTTCAGATTTCCCATTCAGTCAATATAAATATTTCCCATTCAGTCAATATAAATATTTATGCGTTTATGGATTAATCAATTATAACACAAATCCTGAAGTCCGGATTTATTCAACATGATTTAGAGGTCAATGTAAGATTTTGATATCGGATATCGTATCATCCCTGCTTTTGTGTTAGTATCCAGTTCGTGGCTGCCGTCTAATGGTTCATTTAACCATTTGTATAATGTATAACACCATCTGTCAAACACACTCAAGTTTTTAAATATAACAGCTGTCGAGCTGGAAAACAAAAGGACAATTGATACGAGTGATTTGGTATATATATATATATATATATATATATATATATATATATATATATATATATATATATATATATATATATATATATATATATATATATATATTATGATTTTATTTTATTTTATTTATTTATTTATTCACATTCAGAATTGTATAAAATGCACAAACCAGGTGGTTCAATTATTAATGGGAGTGGATCCGGTTCGAATTTTCAATACTACTAGTTCAACAACAACAGAAAAAAAATAATGCTGAATATGTACCCAGATCTATATAAAAAGTGAAAACTAATTCTGGTTAAATAAATTTTTTGCCTGCTACCTTCTTTTTATAACTGCTACGTGAAAAGTTTATTCGGATGATTTTTATTTATTGAATTTTATTTGTTCTGCAATAATTTACTTTTACATTATTCCCATTTTGCAAGTGCCAAAAAAAGCGTAAGAAAAGAAAAATTAAATACAGGTGTACGTGTACATTCACGTCATTTTCTTCTCTCAGTTTCCTTTGGGTTTCGTTTTGCCATTCCAGTTAATTGCAGATCATTTTGCCCTGTTTGTAATTGTAATACTAATTTGTTTTGAAGCATACTGTCCTATACAAAAATTTAGAAATTTTTCAATTTAAATTTGTATATGACAATTAATTAGCACACTTTTTTTTCTAAAAAAAAATCTCGCCCGATCAACACTCAGGCTGTGCTAAAATAAGACTATGTAGAAATATGAACGTCTTATTTCTCGCTTGAAGAACTTCTCTTTGAGTTCCCTGACGATGCCGCTCACGGATTCTGTCAGCCACGATCTGCGCTCCTTTCTATCTATGAGTCTTATTAAACAGATTAGAGACAAACTCCAACCAGCGTTTTAACTTTTAATATGGAACTGACAAATTTTGATACAGGTCGGTGTACTCGGGACGGCTGTCCGATTCCGACTGCTCATCCAAAACAAATTCAACAGTATATATAACAATTATAGAGTGACATGTGTAAAAATGACATTTGGAGATAAATAGATAAAGGTTTTGACACTTGAGTAAACCCTTAAAATAATTGAGGGCCAGATTATCGTCCTTTTGATGTTATTTTGCATAAAGATAATTTAGCAATATCAAACGATGACAGGTGTTAAACCCAATTGGCTTGGATTATCTGAAATCGCCGATGTTTTAATTCAATAAAGATTAAGAGTCGTAAATTCAATAAAGAAAATGATTTGAAAAGCTCAAGAATTTTGAAAGAGTTGTTCAAAAAAACACAAAACAGTAACTTAATTTTAGAAACTAGAAAAATCTCTTATAACAGTAAAATTTTCATCGTGATAATCTGTCCTATACAAAAATTTAGAATTTTTCAATTTAAATTTGTATATGACAATTCTCCCCTTGCCACAAAAAGTTTGTCCTCAAACTTAAAAAAAATATACACATGTAAATATAAAATTAACATTGTGCAATAGTAAATATTCAAAATTTAGTGTTCAAAATTTCTTTGTATAATTCAGAATCTTTAAACTGTCTATATTCCCTTCGGACAAGTTTACTGTTTTCAACATCTCTTTTACACATACAGTTCTGTTTGATTGATCGCAGTACGATGTGTTCCATTTCATAATTTTCCAGAAGCCAGTTGTAATGGGAAACAAGTCCGGAAAGTTTCTTTAGATCTGACACGGCATAGTTTAAGTATGTAGAATACAGTTTTATCTGTTGATCTTTTTCCTCGTTCGACTTTGACTGTTTCTGCAATTTCCATTCTAGGATTTCAATGTCCATTTTCATTAGCGCTTTTGTATATTGGAGATCTTTTACCACGGACTGAACTTCTGATGAAAACACTGACTTTAAATTGACACACTCTTTAAATTTGGAATCACTTATGTTTGCAAACGGAAGTACCCGGAACAACCTTTTCCTGCTGTTGTAATCCTGCAGTCGTTCGGTGTCCCTTTTCCTCTTTGCATCCGATTTTACAGCGCGGCACGAACGTTCTCCGCACACTCTGCTAAAGTGTCCCTCTTCTCCACATCTATGGCAGCGTTTCTCCAAGGCGTTGCAGACGGAGTAATGCCGTCTGTTACATCTGCTGCAAAGCGGCGCTGAAACCTGCCACTGTGGTCGGAACTGCATGCCAGTCCAATGTTAAAGCTGGTCGTCCTCGGAAACTTTGAGATTTGGGGAATACTCGCTTAGCTTCATGAGAGGTGGTGTTGTACCCGGATTCTCCACCAATTAGCACAATTTAAAAAAAAAAATTATCTCGCCCGATCAACACTCAGGCTGTGCTAAAATAAGACTATGTAGAAATATGAACGTCTTATTTCTCGCTTGAAGAACTTCTCTTTGAGTTCCCTGACGATGCCGCTCACGGATTCTGTCAGCCACGATCTGCGCTCCTTTCTATCTATGAGTCTTATTAAACAGATTAGAGACAAACTCCAACCAGCGTTTTAACTTTTAATATGGAACTGACAAATTTTGATACAGGTCGGTGTACTCGGGACGGCTGTCCGATTCCGACTGCTCATCCAAACCAAATTCAACAGTATACAGTGTATATAACAATTATAGAGTGACATGTGTAAAAATGACATTTGGAGATAAATAGATAAAGGTTTTGACACTTGAGTAAACCCTTAAAATAATTGAGGGCCAGATTATCGTCCTTTTGATGTTATTTTGCATAAAGATAATTTAGCAATATCAAACGATGACAGGTGTTAAACCCAATTGGCTTGGATTATCTGAAATCGCCGATGTTTTAATTCAATAAAGATTAAGAGTCGTAAATTCAATAAAGAAAATGATTTGAAAAGCTCAAGAATTTTGAAAGAGTTGTTCAAAAAAACACAAAACAGTAACTTAATTTTAGAAACTAGAAAAATCTCTTATAACAGTAAAATTTTCATCGTGATAATACATACAGTCTGCCTTTGGATGAATATGTTACTAAATATTCATCTTTACAGCAATAAAATTATTTTTACTGCAGTTAAAATAAAATACTGACAATTGCTATACTCACAATTAAATACTACTTTAGTAAAATTATTTTTACCTCAGTAAAATTATTTATACTCCAGTAAAATTATTTATACTCCAGTAAAAATCAATAACTCTTGAAGTAAAAGTACTTTGTTGGTATCAAACTCGAAATAAATTAATTTTACTCTAGTGAATATTTTTTTTATTGAATAAAACGTATAACACTAGGTATTGCTACTCACCATAGATAAATCTGTTATTGAAATTCATATTAGAATCGAACCTGCAGTTAACTTGCACATTGCTGTTTGTTCTTCCTCAAAGCAATCAATTTTGTATGCTTTATGCATCTTCACACATTCAAAATTCAATAAATATTTTTCTTCTATTGATCACGTTAAGTCCTATGGTAAATCTATTAGAACTGTTTAGTAAAGACTAAATTAGACACCCTCTGTTGTGTAAAATTTTGACAATATCGAACGCGTCAAGAACTAAAAGGACAGTGGAAATCTGTGATATTTTCAGACAAAGCACCAGTATTTGTTGGTCAAACGAAAAAAATATAATTATATATTTAGAAAAAGGCCATTTTACAGAATAAATAAACAAAACTATTTATCCATATTGGCATTCACAATGTGAAAATTTTGTATAAGAAGATCGTTATATAGATGTTTACAGTAACAAAAAAAAAAAAAATAAAATAAAATCCGCCCACCCGCCCCAATTTTTAAGCAAATTAGGACGAAAATCTAGCTTTTAAATCTTTGTGGCCTTAAGACCAAAAACTGAAGGTCAAGGTTGACCTTTTTTTCTTTCTCCATCTGAGAAATTATTCCATTTCTTCCACCCTCTTCCAGGCGCGGATCCATGATTCTTTTCCAGGGGGAGGGGGTTCCTCCCCAGTCAAAAAATTTCCAACCCTGAAATTTTGACAAGCAAAACACACGCACACACACAGACAAACAAAAAAAAAATCAATAATAATAATAAAAGAAAAAAAATTAAAAACCTAAACTCCTTTCCCAAATGTATCCAACCCAAAAAATTTCTTGACGAGCAAAAATTAATAATAATTTTAGAAAAAACAACCTAAACTCCTTCCCCAACCGCGAAAAACATATTTCTTAAAAGAGGTCCACGTTTTCTGGTGAGGGGGGGGGGTCCAAAGTCATTTTTTATTTGCTTCAGTATATACATTTAATAACTCTGTAGATCCAGGGGATCCGCCCCCTCCCCCTCTAGATCCGCGTATGGTCTTTTTTCCTTAGGCGGGGGACACAAATTCTCTGAATTAGCTTGTTAAATTTAATGTGAGGTTCACGTTAAATCATGGTCCTTTATCAAACGACTTGAAAGTCTCTATACAAGACAGAGTTATAGTTTTTTCAAGAAACTGAAACTGCAGTCCTAAGAGATTTTTGCAGATTAACATATTTTTGTGTCGCCTGTAGAGCAGAACTACACTTAAAAATCACTTTGCCTGGCACACCTTATATCTTGAGAACTGTTTAAGGTTGGGATTTGAAATTTGGCTCATCTATTGCTTGGAAGAATGGCTTTTGTGAAATACCAGGGTTACCGACCTCGTGACCTTTGAACTTGATCTTTGACCTACTTTTCAAAATATACCATATTACCGATTTTCACATATTCTTTGACCTTTTCAGAGGTAAGTTTTGCTATTAGGCAAGTGCACTGTTTGTCAAAAGACATGTTGAAAAATATCAGTGATACAGTCCACCTGACCTTGACCTTTGGCCTATTTTCAAGAATACTCTGAACCGTTGTTATGTCTTATGAATTTTGAGAAGCATGGCTTTGTTTATAACTAGCAATGATATATATGTATATGATCTACTGAAATCGGTATTCACTCAGCCTCTATCGTCAACCTACATAAAACCTCGCGGTTTTTCTCGACTTGACGGAAAAGGCCCAGTGATGTTCTCGACTTGAAGGAAAATGCCATGTGATTTTCCGATTGTTCCATTAGTTGTCTTTAAAAATAAAACGGGATCGGTAAACCTACTTTTGATCATGAGTGTCAGGAGTTGTTGAAATGAAATTCTATCAATAATTTTTTTTTACTAATAAATTTTCTCTACTTGAAAGAAAAAGCCGATGTTGTTCTCGACTTGACGGAAAAGCCTGTGTGATGTTCCCGATTGTTCCGTTAGTTTAGGGTCGATATACCGACTTGGGCTTGGTGAACGTGGAGATTGTTAAAATAAACTCGTATGAATGGATGATTATTTTTAATAAATTCAATTTGATTTTTCATTTTAATTTGAATTTATATTGAGTTTAACTTTTATGTTAAATATTATTTATCGTTGTCTTACTATCCGCGGATTTTTTTTCTTCGCTTGATTATAATGCTAGTATAAAATTTAAGAAATAGATGACCATTCTTAAGTTTTATTTATGTCTTTAATGATAATATTAGGCGACATGTTAAGTAAAACTCAGTTCTACAGGACCAAAGAGGAATAACTCTATAAGCTTTTTTAAGAAATATTAACTATGCGTTTTCCGGTTTTCCCTCCATTTACTGTAGTAATATCACCTCACCCTCATGCATATACTTGAAATTTTGTTAAGTACAATAGGACAATGCACCAAACTGCTCCGATTCTTTGATAGTTACTGTGCCGGTTCGCAAATTATTGCGTCGAAATACGAAGTACTATTTAATTATCTATATATCCACAAATCGAAATCAATGAATGAAGTTGGATTTTGTATGGGCAGATTTCTAGTGATGTCTGGAAATAATATGATGTATCCATCACAGGGATGGGAATATACAAATCTCTCTCTCTCACTCTCTCTCTCTGGTTTTAAAATGTGTGTATTTAATATGACACAATACAAAATTGTAGAATTGTACCATTACTTACTCATACACAATATACTACATTATTGTTAAATTCTGATACTAAGTTTACAAACAAACAAGAAAAAACAAAACAAATAAACATGCCCGGATCTAGAGGGGGGTCCGGGGGGGATCCACCCCCCCCCTTGAATTTGCAGAGTTACTAAAAGTATATACTGGAGCAAATAAAAAATGACTTTACCCCCCCCCCCCCCCCAAAAAAAAAAAACGTCGACCCCACCAACATCGCCGCGGAATGGCCATAACGTTTGTTTTGTTTGTAATTGTTTGTTTGTTTGTTTGTTTTTTGCTTGTCAAGATCTTTTCTTGATTGGACATTTTTTGACCGGGGTGGAATCCACCCCACCCCCACCCCCACACCCCCTGGAAAAAATTCCTGGATCCGCGCCTGATAAACAAACGGTTCTTGTTGCAAAAAAAAAAACGAATTTTGTGAGCAAGTAAGTTATGCCGAGTCTCAACAAACTTTTCCTGTCGCCAGATCTGTTGATCAGTATTTTACACATTTGACCGGTCGATGTTGAGAAAAGGAGGGGATTCCCTTAAATTTTCAAACGGACGGTCATTTATTTTATTTTATTTCTCAAGATTGTTTTGACATCTAAATGCAACATGACAGTTTTGTTTTTTTAATTTGAACGATGTTATTTTTCTTCAGAACGGACAAAAACGATTAATTTGAAAAAAAAATCAAAGGTAGGTTTAATCTAATTTATTTGGCGCTACTTTACCGTAATTTGTTTCCGTCTTTGCATAAATCACTTTGATTAATTGAACAAATCTAACAAGTATGTTGTGATACAATTCTTGAAAAGTAAAGGACTTTATTTATTTAAATTTACTACTCCTGATAGTTTAGAGGGGTATTTTATCTAAAATTTAGTATGTATTGTCGCTCATGAAATTACGAGGAAGAACGAAGCATTTTTCATTGCATATTTTATGCCCATATGTATACTGGCCTCAAACTCATTCATTGACTCTTTTTTTTTTTTTTACATTTTCAAAGCTCTATATTTTATGATAATATTTGAAAACCAGACTATGGCAATCAAAGTAGAATTTTGTACACGAAATTCGAAAGGAAGAAAAAGAGAGAAGAATAGGACAGCAATCTGGCGGGATTAGCGATGGCGTCGAAGCAATAAACAAAAACGGATACCAGTCAATTTCCTTTGTGTTCCAAGCAACCTGTAGAAACATAAACATGTTAAAACTCTTTAAATTGTAAAAAGAGCGATGTAATTTATTCTGGAATTTGCTGATTTAAATCATAAAACTCTTAACTATGTAGGAGACTACAGACAAAACGTAACCCGAAAATGAGGGCATATTAACATTACTTAACGCATGAACAATATATAAATGTTCGTTTATCTACTCAGTTAT